GAAGAAGAACAAACATCAACAAGAAGAGAATGATTTCCTAGGGAATTAAAGTTTTCCTGAACATCCTTAAGGTGAATTGTTGTTGTGTAACATTTAAATACAGTGGGTGCGGGAACTGAAACCCATAGACCTACCTCAATATACAAAAAAGAGGGGGGAGATACAGCACTAACTCTAAACGAGAAGACAAGAAAAATGGAAAAAGGGGAGAGGCTATGCCAAATAAGTATATGAACACAATATATCAATGTAAAAAAGCTTAAATAAGAATATGGTATAAAAGTACCGAAGAGAAAGTCCTTATGGTACTAATTTAAAACCTGCTGGAAATAGTATTCTTGAAGGTCAATCTGTTGTCCTCCTTGCTGAATAAATAATCAGGTCTTTTAGTAGAGATGAGTCATTTTCTTAAAGTTGTCCCACATGAAATAGAAACACAAAAAGACACCAATAGTGTAACCAAATACATAAAGTGCCTAGATAATGTTTAAGTCAAGGTACTCTGGATATAGCATCCAGAGACAACATCAGTGTCCAACATGTGGGCTGGTGCTGATATCTCTCGCTATTGAGGCCTCTGCTCAGCTGTATGCCCTTTCCCCTTGCATTCAACTACAGGAGATTGCGTGGGTGATTTACTCAACTATTGCTCAAAAATTTTGAGTAAAAAAGTCTGTGACAACATACATGAATTTTGGTAATAAAACTCAACTTTTGCTTATTTGATCATGAAATCATTTTTTTGTAATTGTAAAAATGCTGGTGCTGTCTTTTGTGATGTGTATCACTGTGCTTTACTTGCTACACTGGTTCACAAATAAAGAATAAAAAAAAATTTAAAAAGCTGAATTTAAAAAAAAAAAAAGTATACTATTCTTCCAGTTCAGGTATTTTGATCTAAAAATTTTAAATTTACTTTGAATTCAATTTAATGTTCAACAATTCCCATGTTAGTAGAGCATAGACAAAGTATTAGGAACGTGCTAAACAGTTACTGAAACAGAAACCACAGTAGGTCAAAGTAAATGGGGCCAGGACACTTTAAATAGTGTTAGTTAAAAAATTATTGGTCCATGTTAAACATGCAACCCCAAAGTAAGGCCGCTCCTCTTTGCCCTGAATTGGTCTGTTACCCGGGAGTGTGTCTACACTTGTAATGCCTGCTTCTTCATTATTGACTGTGCTGTGTACCGTTCTTCCAATACTTTGTAATTCTTGAACTGGGCTTGTCCCGGTATTCTCCTCTGTTTTGCAAACTGTGTTCTATACTTTCATATGTCAAGCCCATCCACCCTTACGACCTGTAATACAATTTCTAGTAGTATAGGAAATCCTTTAGCCTTCTGGGTGTTGGGGTGCCTAGCCTTGACATTTAATTTATAAAATGGTAAAAAAATTACCTATACCTTATGTTAACCTTTTTCCATATGATACAACGTGCACTGTGTAAATAATTTTATATATTTATATATTTGTCAACTCATGCACAGAACTGACAGGTTTTATTGTCTGTGTCCCTCACAGGAAAATCCTGAAAGATAAATGTGAATTACTAATTATTTTATTATATATTTTTTTTCTATACAATATATTTTTTTATATAAAAAAAGAAATCATATTATAATGTAATCTATAAATTGGGGCCTATATCAGAATCAAGTTCAGTTTGGGTACAACCATGGCATATACTTAAAATCAGGAAGCATAGAAACATTATTTAATTTCTCCTTTTCTCTAAATGGTTTCTTTATGTTGTCAGGTGTGAGAATAGAGTTTAGGATAATGACTGTCAGGTAGCTAAGTGTCACAAACATACCTTTACACAGTGCCCGCGCTGCTCCTCTCCTCGAGCCGCCCGGCCTGAACGATCCACGTGGCTGCGCGACCAGAATAGAATGCTTTCCTTCGGTCCCGCGAATGGCCTCCTCTGCTGGTTCGCGGGAAGAACTGCAGCCCCTAGAAATAAAATAATAATAAGCCATGACATCATTACCTTAACCCCTTAAGGACACATGACATGTGTGACATGTCATGATTCCCTTTTATTCCAGAAGTTTGGTCCTTAAGGGGTTAAAGGGACCATGTTATCTAGGCAACCCAATGCTGTTTGGGCTCGCAGAGTAGATGTGGACCGATGGGAACTCTTTTGAGCCTATTTAAGGTTTGTTTTAGTCGTCATTTATTGCCCTATCATGGTTCCTGTTAAATCCTCATTTAGTGCTCCTAGAGATTCTCTTGTGATTTCCTGTTTTTGACCTTGGCTTCATATTTGACTTGTGATTTCTGGTATCTTGACCTCGGCTTCGTATTTGACTTGTGATTTCTGGTATCCTGACCCGGCTTTGTCTTGACTCTTGAGAATTCCTGTTATTCCTGTCCTTGATTTATCTTCAACCTGTTTCTTGGTATATATTACGTTAAGTCCGACCATTCTAATGCTCAGTAATACATCTTTGGGATCCACCTTTTGTGGGTTTGATCTTACCTGTGTGTTGGAGTACGAATCCCGTGACACTAAGATGGAGACACCCAGTTGCAGAATAAAGTAGTATGGATTTACACATACATTTTTTTTTTCATACCTCACAAATATATATTTGTTATGTATAGGGGATAAGTAAACATAATATTAAACAATATACATGAAAGTGTTAACGTTTAATGTGGTGTGAGGGCATTAATTGATAGAAGTTTAATATGAATGACAAAGGCTTACTCCACTTTTGTGTGGATGGCCATTTTGTCTCTTGTGCTATGTTAGCATAAAGAGCTAATTTACTCCCTTATCACAACTCCAATGTTGTGAAAAGACTAGATGGCATGTAGAAGGACGTGACAGCTTGCCAGAGATTACAGATCAAGGCAGCAAGAACACTGCATCCTGAACAACATGTTTTGCTGTTGTGCCATCTATTAGTAAAAGGCTCCTTGTTACAGTAATGTGCACTGTGTAAATAATTTTATATATTTGTCAATGCATGCACAGAACTTGTAGGTTTTATTGTCTGTGTCCCTCACAGGAAAATCCTGAAAGATAGATGTGAATTCCTAATTGCAGATTAGACATAGACATAGACTTTAGCATGGCTTAATATGAAAATACAGAGAACTCTAACAGGTGTAACAGTCCAGGAACAACGTCCAGGAACAAGCTGGGTTCAGGCGAACCAGAAATCAGAATAGTTAAATAACAAGCCATGGGTCAGGACAGGCAACAGGCAGGCGAATGGTCAAAAGACATTTGGGGTCAAACACAGAAAACATATAAGGAAAATAGGCCACAGCACCTAGTACATTTCTAAAAAAGGTCTGAACCACAAACTGGCACTAGGCGACGGGAAAGATGGCTTTTTAATGTAATGTAAAAAAACTAGGAAAATTGACACATGTGCTTCATCAAAATACACCAAATGGTGCCCTAAGGGAGCAGTTTCTGCATCAATAGATGATGCACAGATTGAGTCTGTCCATCATTCCTAACACTCCCCCACTATTATGGTGTATGATATTTTATCTTACAATGATAAAATACAAATCTGTAATTTTTTGTTGTCAAACCGTCTCTCACCCTATTCTACCGGTGCTCTTCCCAGTTCTCTATGCCCCTTGCCTGTTTAGCCATTGCTTTCTGTAACTCTTGTGTTCCATATTCTTCTAATTTCTCTATCGCTCTGGGCTCCCTTTCATCTTAACCAAAATACACCAGCAGGGATCAGCACATATTCAAAATATGTTTTAAATATCCCAAGGCTACTTAAGTTCAAGATATTTTTATCTTGAACATAAAAGTTCAAGATAAAAATATCTGCTGCTTTCCCTCTCTTTATCATTTATCTCCCAAACTCTCTATAATGCACTGTTGCTCTTCCATTCTCTCTCACATAGTTTACCTTGCCATGCCCACAACTTTTCCATGAAACTCCTTTCCATTGTTTTTATTGGTGTTTTCCCCTGTTCCATCACTCAATCCCAACCTCTGTTCTGTGTCCTCTACTCTCATTGCCCACCCCCTTATTTCCTCCATGGTCTTATCTCCTTATTTTCCATTTCTCTACCATTTTATCGTCTTTTCTTTTCCATAGCTCTCTCCACATTTCTTCAAAGCCACCCATAAAATTCCTCCTTTCTGTTCTACTGTTTCTCTGGAATCTGTAGGCCTAGTAGGTGTGTATATATATATATATATATATATATATATATATATATATATATATATATATATATATATATATATAATAAACATAAAATTGTCACTTGAAAAGCACTGATGTAAAAAAATTATGTATGCTGATGCAACGACCAGGAATATACCACTTTTTTATTTTATAGTGATTTATATTATTCGATAGTGTTTATATTATTTTATAGTGTTTTATATTATTCGATAGTGTTTATATTATTTTATAGTGTTTTTTTATTACTTGATAGTGTTTATATTATTTTATAGTGATTTATATTTTTACACAGGGTGGGTGCGGTATTCCAGGGGCATACCATTCAATTCAAAGCAGCCCTGCTGAAACCTTAATGCTCATGGCCCTGATTATGATAAAAAAAATTTTTTTTTTAGTAATAATAAAAAGTAATGTTTACATTCAGCTGCAGGCTGCAGTGCCAATACCCTGAATGCAGTCCTACAGCCATACAGAGGGGGAGCATTAGTCAGAAGTACTAAGAAGGCACTCCCATCTGGCCCCACCCAACATTAGTCAGGTTCTGTACCCATAATTCACCATACTGCCCGCCCCCCCTGGACCCACAGGAGCTGGCCCCCTCTCTCTACTGGGCTGCCAGGTCCTGGTGACGTCACGCAATGGCTGCCTGAGGGACACCATCCCAGCATGCAGGAAAACAAAGCGCAGCTCTCAGCCAATCAGGAAGCGATTCTGTCACCGCTCTCTTCCCCGTCAGCCAATCAGCGGCCCGCTCCGGTCCTGGCTCTCCTCCCCTGTTGCCGTGACCCCGGCCGGCCGCTGGGTGGTGCTGTTATTATTGTTGCAGGCTGGCTGCGGGCCGGTTTGTGTTTGTTGCGGGTAAGGAACCGTCACTGGAGGTGGTGGGGGGTGGGGGTTAAGGGAACCGGGGTTACACCGGGGGAGGGGACACTGAGGGCCGGTGGGTGGGCCTCGGGGAGGGGGAGAGGATGGCTGCACAGGGATCGGAGAAAAACCCCAGCAAAAAGAAAACCGAAAAGAAATTCGCGGCCAGGGAGGAAGCCAAGCTGCTGGCCAGCTTTATGGGAGTGATGAACATCATGCGGAAACAGGTAAAACATGCCCTCCCTAACCTTCATCAAATCACCAATAACCATGGCAACCGTGCGGCCCCTTTAAGAGAAGGCACCCCATGAAGCATGCATGGTGCAGGGCAGCACTGAGTGCCAGGGCCCCAGAGCATGCATGACCCATAACCATGCTTACTGGGAGGCTGTGAGTGCATGTTATGCTGTGTGTTGGAGTAATGGAAGAGAGAGTGAGCTCATTGTCACCTGGGGCTTGGTTCAGTGCAATAGCCTAATGCTTTGTTAATAACAACAAGCTGCTAGAAGGGCTAAAACATGGAGTCAGTACATTGTCCTGCTGAGATCTTTGATCCAGAGGCATTCATTAACCTTTTTGTCAGGTTTTATGCATGGTTTAAATGTCTTAACAGGACATCAAGACAAGAAACAGGTGGTATTCTGGAGCAGTATGCTTAGTAATGGGCGATCGCTATGCAAATCGATAATATGTCGATCAAAAGGTAACACTTTGCCCCAGAATAGCGCCAATTTTAACCTTGATAAATATTAACGTTTAGGGATCCTCGAGTCTCAACTGATAGGCTAAAGCCGGCGTTCATACTACAGCAGGGGTAGGCAAACTTTGGCACTCCAGGTGTTGTGGACTACATCTCCCATAATGCTCCTACAACTATATTTCTGGCGTAGCTCAAGGGGGAAAAGTAGTCCACAATACCTTCAGTGCCAAAGGTTACATACCCCTATACTACAGCATTCGCAATATAAATTTTGTGCCACTTAGGACATTATTCATTTGCTGAGAGTGTCAGCTGACTTTATCAGACAATGTATGTTGTCAAGTAGATGAGTCTGCATCAATGCTGTACTCTTGCAAGTGTGTATGAGTTCAAAACGTAAGTCTGTGAAAGACCCTTCATAGAACTTCTCATGAAGTGGGCGACAAGTTGCTTTTTACTACAGGCATCTCGTGTGACGGCTGCTTGGAAAAAACAAAAGCTCTGATTTGTCAACCTGTAAAATCTCTGTAGAAAATAATAGGTATTTTGTCTCACAACAGTTTAAATTACTGAATGCAGTCAACATGAGTATTTCATAAAGATTTTATCTTTAATACTATGCAAGATTTTATCTTTATGAAATGCTGAAAAGTGATAGTGCTGGTTTAAAGTCAGGTTGGGGCTGATCGATAGCATTGCTAATGCATTCAAATGCAACGTTTACATTACAGCCTAGCGATACCCCGACTGGCTACTCCTCAAATGGCTACTAGAGGTGCTTCCTGGGGGGGTGTTGCACTGCCATTCAGTGTCGCCACCCTCTGCATGGAGATACTGAGCTTTCTTCATAGAGATGCATTGATTCAATACATGAGATACTGATTTACCAGGGCTGTGTTTGGCTTGTACTGGATCTTCCCCTGTTCTGCCTCCTTGACAGTCTCAGTCAATATATGAGAAAGCATTGTGATTGAGAGAGAATAACTTCTGATGATGTCATCCAAGCAGGCAGATCAGGGGTAGAGTCTGCAGTAGCAGACCAGAATAAAAGTAAAGTTTTACTATATTTAGGAAGGTCAGGAAGGGCTAGAGTGGTTTTTAACACTATAGGGTCCAGAATTCATGTTTGTTTTCCTGACCCTATAATGTTCCTTTAAGGTACCATCTTATTGAAATTGCTATGTTACTCTAATACTTTCACTGCAGTCTCAGCCTTGAGTTATTTCTTCTCTCTACCTTCAGGATTTTAAAGGAAAACTCCTGAGCCCTATAGCTCTTAAAAGGTTACTCCAAGCACCATGTTCCCTTCACTGATTTTAAGTGGTCATGGTGATTAGTGTTTATATGTGCAGCGTTTCAGTTTAAAAACCATGCACATACTAAGATATTTGCTGCAGAGGTGTAACTCCACCTCCAATTCTCCAGCCAAGGATTCCTATTTCAAGAGAAATCCGCACTATCGTGAATTAATTTAAGAACGCCCACCTGCCTGTCAAAGCTGACAACAAGATGAGCTTTCTGATTCACTCTGCTTTAACATTCCAATGCTTCCCTATGAGCAATATTCTATTGGGTGATTGGTGCACATGTGCCAGTTTCTTCCCGAGGCAGAGGCAGTCGTCACAGTCTCGTGGGGAAGGAGAGGAGCAGAATTGAGTGAATTCTCTTCACTGGAGAAAAAGGTGAGTAAATGGTGTGTGTGTGTGTGTTTATATATTTTTTTTCATGTGTAAGGTGTGTCTGGCATCTAGTGTAATACAGCAACACTCCCAATGTTTTTTTACGTTGGAGTATTCCTTTCAAGCAGACCTTGCGGCTGTGCCTTGCATTTCTGTCATTCTGAGAGACTGGAATTACCCTTCCTGTCTTTCAAGTTATTGAGTTGGCTACTTAAGCATGCATAGAGCTATTGGCAGCAACGGGTGTATGCACCCATTGTTACCCAGGTAAGTTGCCAAACTGTTCGAAAATTGTTTGACAGACTACTCTGATAGGGTGCACTCCTGACACCATACCTATTAAAATTGTCTATAGTGGTTATGGTACTTGGACTACCGGATAATGGTACTCCGTTTTTCTGCGGAAATATCTAGCATGCTGATATAACTGTAACCAGCATGGAGAAGGCTTAAGGAAATAAGCTGCACGTTTGGCTGAGCATTTACCCACAATTACCAAAACTAACTGCAAAATTAGGGGGAACCAGAGGTAATTCATAGGCTCATTGAGAAAGTCACAGGACTTTGCTGAAGAGTGAACCCATGCATTTATTGTATGAAGCCCTGAATTGTACAGACAAGCTAATAATTAAAATAATTGGCAGGAAAAAAAATGTGTGGGTCCAAATAGCGCTCCCTAGTCGGTGCCCCAAATTGCAAAGCTTGGTTTATAATCCCATGTATGTTTTTTACTCTGTTTAATGAGTGTTTGTGTTAGCCAAGTCTGTTTATACTGTTTTTATATACTGAACATTCAGTGAAGACTGAAGTAACGTTTCATAGCACTGTAGTGCAAAGTAGAAATTCAAGCATCAAATTGAACATGTATTCACTTGAAGTTTCAATAGAAAAAATGTCTGTGCGTTAACCAAGCCAATCATTCTTGACAGTTCCTATGCTGTGTGCTGTTAGAATGTGTGAGACAGCACATTGGAGCAAGTGATTATGAATAAATGAAAAGGGACACCTATAGTCAACAGAATCTCTACAGCTCATTGTAGTTGTTCTGACGTTCAGCGCAATGAACTTTCCTCATGTAGATGCATTTATTCAATGCTTCTCTAAGAGGAGATGCTGATTGGCCAGGCTGGCATTTGGCTCCGCCCACACCTGACTCCTTAACTATTTCATCCAGGCCAATGCTTTCCCTATTGACATGATGATAGCCAAAGAGGTCGATCAGAGGCGGGGTCAGCACCAGCAGACTCGTCCATCGCTGGAAAAAAGGTAAGTTGTAACCCTTTCTAAGGGAGAACAGCATAGGTTCAGGAATACATGTTTGTGTTCCTGACCCTATAGTGTTCCTTTAAGGTTTGATAAAACACTGTTCTTGGTTAGTTACCATTGGCACTTCAGATGTTGCTATCTATGTCTCCCTGATGCTTTGCCAGCATCATGGCTGTAAGGGCATAATGGGAGATGTAGTCCACAACATCTGGAGTGCTAAGGTTGCCTACCCCTACCTTGCTGGCACGTTCAGATACTCTCATTCTGGGCTAGCTAATGACAGAGGTGGAGTTATACAGTGGGCAGCACTTGGATTTAAATCTGTATTTAAAGGGACACTGTAGGCACCCGACCACTTCAGCTCATTGAAGTACTTAGTGCTGCAATGTAAAACATTGCAGTTCCATTGCTTCAGGAATCCAAACGGACTTTTGGTCCTCACAGACCTCCGGCGTCAGATTTTCCCAATAGGAAAGCATTGAATAATGCTTTCCTATGGGAAGGTTTAGTACGCGCGCGGCCATTGCTGCGCCTGCGCATTAGGTCTCCCCCCGCCAGCTGACCCATCGCCGAGGGACATCTCGCTGGATTCAGGTAAGTGGCTGAAGGTCTTTTAACCCATTCAGCCCGCCTGGAGTGGGGGCACGAGGGAGGGGGGACCTATTAAACCTATAGTGCCAGGAAATTAAGTTTGTTTTCCTGGCACTATAGAATCCCTTTAAGCATCATGGCAACTTCAAATTAGTGAAGTGGTCATGGCCCTTAGAGTAACCCTTTAACTATTTTTGTGACACTGGTTACGATTTGCACAAGCATGGATCTTAGAATAACAGAAGGTTAATCGGGAAATGTTATAATTCCTGTGCCCATATAGTCTTCAATGGGGGAGAAGAGAGACATGATCTGTCCTTATTCGGAAGTGCAAGTAATGGTATTAAAATGTAACGTGTATTCAATAGAAGGATAAAAAAAAAATACTAAATAAAGCAAAAAAGGGGAGGGAATATAATATGAGGTTTCAGAAGGTTCGCTCCGACAATATAAATAAGTATAAGGTGGTGAAGATATATGTAGTGGTAAGATTATTGCGGTCTTGTGGCAATAGAAAACAACCACTAGACATACTTGTCTATAAAGTGATAGGAAGTTGCAACAATGCGTCAAGGTATCTACATAAGCCCCAATGGAGAGTATGTAACTAGGTAATGATGTATTCATAATTAGGGTTACCCCCTTGTGTCTGTCCTAGATTTTCCACATTGATTATTAGCTTCACTTTTCTTTTCCCATATAATCTTCAATTTGCTTTACAGAATAACCATTTAAATCCGTTTTCATTGTATATGTGATGCTATAATTACATGACACTTGTCTGTCAACATTCATCACATCATACATGTCTCTATACCCTACTCTGAATCAATAAACATATTTTACTGTTTTAGTGTTTTCTGCCAATTATAGTGAATTTATTTTTTGTATGAAATCCCATAAACCTTATTGATGCTGTCTGAATAAAGACATGCAGAAGATAACTTGCTGTTTGTAATTTTTTGCCTGTATGCATAGTGCATGTTTCTTCATTCACGTGCCGGCTCTTTAATGCAGTTTATGAAGCAGGAAAGAGTGTTTAAGTGATAAAAAATTTTTTTACATCTACCATTTGCCTTATTTGGTCAGATTCTTGTTAACGCATATTCTTGCATTAGCACTTCCATGGTTTGATAAATGTTGTAGTAGAAGAAAATCCAAGCACACCAGAATCAATTTGCAAATAAAAAAAGTTTTTTTTATTCATATAGTGGATAAGCATAGATTATACAGAAAGACTGCAAATAATAGTACAGGTATGTAAACAACAAATAGAATACCAATAACCACTATGCATGCAAATTAAAGTGCTCAAGGAAGAAACCCGTAATAAAACAGGCATACTGACTCGAGTTTCGGCTCCTCAGGGGGAATGTCTTGCTAGCTGAAACATTGGGGCGCGACAAATCCCCCAGGTCGCCATGGCGACTAAAAGGTTTGCCCTGGTGCCTGGGATTTATCAGCTTTTTATCTAAAACGCCCGGGTGGGCAAATAATGGAGCCGTTGTAGCCGGCCGCCCTGAGCTTTATGGAGGCGCCCAGCTGAGTGATCGTTGCAGCCGGCCGGCCGCCCTGGGCTTTATAAAGGCGGTTGGCTGGGGCAGCATGCGAGGGAGCAGTGATCTTCCAGCGGCTCCTCTCTGCTCCCTCGCGCTGTTTAATGATGCTGGGAGCCAGAATGTGACGTCATTCCGGCCCCGGCATCACAGGGAGCAGAGTGGAGCTGCATGGTAGATTACTGCTCCATCTCACACAGGAAGAGAGAGCAGCCCCACTGGACCCCAGGGAAAGTCACTCTGCTCTCCAAAGGTAGGGAGGCTGGGTGGATTAAAAAAAAAAAAAAATTGTGAGTGTTTAAGATAGTGTATGTGTCTCTGTCAGTGTGTGTATATGTGTGTGTCTCTGTCTGTCAGAGAATGTGCCTATCTGTTTAAGTACCTGCCCCCCTCCGATCACATGATTGGTGTTTTTACTCACCTTTTTTTTCCCCCCCCACGCCGTGCAGGTTTTGCCGTGGCTTGTCCCACTTCCATTGCCAAGTTCATCAATCTTTATGATCTCTGCTAAGCCAATGCTTTCCCATAGGAAAGCATTGGGAGGATATTGCGCATGTTCTGTATGGGTAACATTCAGCACGTCCATGCAGAGCACTGACTCAGGACTCTCTAGTGGCCATCTGAGTGACAGCCACTAGAGGTCTTAGTGGGCAGCAAAGTAAACACTGCCTTTTCTCTGAATACGTCATAACAGACCAGCCTTTATAAAGATTCTGTTAGCATGATCTCTAAATGAGACACAAAGTCACCAAGTTCACTCTTGGATTCTGAAAACCAATGATCATCAGGGAGAATTAGTGAAGCATTTTGAATGAGGGGAAGTCATTCACACCATATTATACATGATTGAATATTCATAACTAGTAATAATCTGTCTCTCTACCATTGGCTAAGAAACTATTACTAGCTATTAATATTTGTATTTATGTAAAATTATGTCAGAAAAACCTTATTGGTAATTAACAAAACTTGACATTCCTAGAGTTCATTTTAAGACTATAATTATCCTCACTATAGATCATTCCTTAGAAAACCGTTTCAGGAACACATGACTGTGTTATGGTACATGCATTTCACAAACACATTGACGCATTCACTTGCTGCATTCTCACATTGTGAGCCCTATGCTTTCCATCTGTCACTTCCCAGCCAGGCCCCTAGACATTTCAAGATCGTTCTTGAAAAATAGGCTATCAAACTATAAAACAAAAAATGTCTGTTAAACTGACAAAAGTAAAAAGACGCCATGTTTTATGATGGACATCTATTTTCTGCAACTTCCACAGTCCCCCCTCTGACGCTAAATATACTCCAGACCATTAGGCATTCTCAACTTAATTGGCTCTGAGGGTCAGTTACGTTAGGACAAAATCCTTCCTTAAGAATATTGGCACTTCTTGTGATATTGAATGGGACAGTTGTTTGTGCGATAACTCTTTACCAAACTGTAACCCCATACACAGTGGACTTAATCTATGATATGAATGTCAAACTTTATTTTTGCAGTGCTTGAGTAACATAAACAAGCTCATATCGCCACAACAGCGTGTACAAGCTAAAACAGTAATACAGTATTATAGCATGCAAGAATGGCACCAAGTTTTTGTTAGTAAATGCAGGTTAGGTACTTATGTCTTAAGAACTTAGCTCACACTGACAAAATATCTGACACTCCTTGAGCCTGTACTAGTTGGGTAAAAAAGAGGTGAAAACAAGACCTATCAATTGATAATAAAGGAGTACTAGTATGAAAAGCGTTTCTTAGGGCTAGCATACTCTTAGATTAAATTATTTCAGGCTAAACATACATAAAGGCTAAAGGCCGCATATTCTGCAGGGTTCGGCAAGACATCTATGTAGCAGGCTTAAAAGTTGTAAACCACAAGGCTTTGGGGCGTGTTTGCATCAAGCTAGGCATGTTAAGAAATAGACCATTGGACTGAAAAAAGAGAAAAATCATACTTTTCTAATGAAACAAAAGCAGAATATACATTTATGGCATTGCTGGTAATGTTCAGGAGGCAACATGTATCTGCCTGTTTAGTGCTGCCTGTGAGTAAGTCACGGTGTGGTACTGTCCAGGAGTGTGTTGATGCGTTCATCCTATGCCCACGATCGGGAAGCTGCCAGCAAGTTGGTCTAAGGGCTGCATCCAATTTTGGCCACTCCGCCGGCCCCAGGCCTTCTCAAGGGCCCTTGTGCACTTTCCACCACTCCGGTCACTTTCAGCACTGCAAGCGAGGTCCCGGGCGGTTGTGTGATGGAAAAGTCCCGTCCGGGCATGTGGTGTACGCAGCAGGGTGTTTCCCTTTCGGGCCTTCAGCCCAGGAAGGCAGAAGCGAGCCTTGGATTTTATGGGCCGCTTCGCTGGTCTCTGTTTCCCAGGTGTCGTGTGCGGTCTTTTCTTCCCGCCAGCCACTCCAGGCGTTTTTTCTGGCAGTGAGTAATGCGGTCATTTAGGGTGTAGCGGCTCCCTCTGGGTCTGTGTCCTTTTGTTTTGCATTCTCTGCCAGAAGTTTTCGAGGAAGTCGTACAGGCGCTGCTCGAGTGTCTGCAGTCGGTTCAGTGTGTCTGCAGCTGGTGCAGTAGCCGCCATTTTGAGGCAGATTGCGCCCCTCTATGTCTTTGCTTTAAGACGATATGCTTGTCAGGGATGTAGCTTGGCTGTGTTGATTGTGTTGGGATAAACCCCACCGTCAGGGGGTGAGCGGGGACCCGTATAACGTCAGTTTGTTCCAGTCGGAGAGGCGGTAGGGAGATCGGCCGCTTCTCCCAGGCTCTCACCTCGAGGTAGGCCTCAGTGGCTGTGCGGGCTCAATCTGCTTGTCTGACCCCTGGAAACCCTTGTGCTGTAGCAGAGTAGCTTGCAGGTAGGTATCAGCGCAAATTTAGCCGTTTGCTTTCAAAATACTGTTTTTAGGCGATTAATTGTCAAATACCCTGCAGTTTATCCTCCTCTATCAAAATTCAGTGTGCACTCTGGAACGCTCGCTCCATTTGTAGTCAATATCAAATTTACAGCTATACATGACCCATCTCTCACTCACAATACTGGCACTCACTGAGACCTGGCTGTCCCCATCCGATACCGCTACTCCTGCTTCTTTATGTTTCGGTGGTCTAGAGTTCTCCCATACTCCTAGACTCGACTGTAAAGGAGGTGGTGTAGGCATCCTTCTCTCCCCTCAATGTACCTTTCAACCTATCCTCCCTGCCTCTGCCCTATCCTTTACTTCCTTTGAAGTTCACACTGTACGCCTTTTTAAGCCCACACCTAAACGATTTATTGAACACTTTTCCTCCTGGTTACCCCACTTTCTTTCCTCTAGCACTCAATCTCTCATACTTGGGGACTTCAATATCCCTATCAACAAGCTCAACTGCCCTGATGCCTCTCGTCTGCTCTCTGTAACCTCCTCCTTTGGACTCTCACAGATTTCTTCCTCAGCAACTCACACTGCAGGGAACACTCTTGACCTCATCTTCACCAAGTTCTGTACCACCTCCTGATCTCACCACTGTTCCATTTCCTTTGTCTGACCACCATCTGCTAACATTTAACATCTGCATACCCTATACCAAAATTTCACCACCATCAACTTTCCACCCTCGCAGAAACCTCAACTCCCTCGATCTCCAGCACTTCTCCACCAAACTCCAAACACTCCTTTTACCCATCTCAAATCTCAACTGCCCTAACTCTGCAACCTCACTCTACAATTTGACATCATGGCACCACCTACAGTTAAACGCAGCAAGCGCCCCCAAATACAACCCTGGCACACCAAGCTGACCCGTTACCTCCAAAAATGTTCCAGAACTGCTGAACGCTGCTGGAGAAAGTCTCACTTTGCATCTGACTTTGTCCACTATAAATTTATGCTGCGCTCCTACAGCATGGCTCTTTCCTCTGCAAAAGTAAACTACTTCAACACCCTCATAAGCACACTGTCCCATCAACCCAAACACCTGTTTCACACTTTTGATGCTCTTCTTCGCCCTGTGACTCCTCCTCCTTCCACCACCTTGTCCGCCACAAACTTTGCATCTCATTTCACTGAGAAGATCTCTACAATCAGGAAAAAGAGATCTCTAATCTCTCTCCTACCCCTATCAATACATCACCCAACCCCACTCCCCCTTGTCACATATTCATCCGCTTAGAGAAAAGTGATTAATGACATTTACTGTCCACACAGGAAAAGTTGTGCCGAGCAGCAACCTAATCCACAGAAGGGTTAATGCTGAGCAGCAATTATGCAAATGAAACCTGGTAACTGACTTTGGGGTCAAAGGCCGGTTACAGCCTATCAGAACTAAAGGAGGGGTATTTAGGCCCAGTTCTCAGCCTGCTCAGTGCCCTGTCGTGGTTTCCCTTGTGGTTGTCTGAGAGCGCGTTCCTGTTTATAGTTTTCTACCTGGTTTTTGACTTTGGCTTTGTTTATTGACTTCTCTATATTCTGGTATCCTGACTCCTGGCTTTCCTGATCGCTGTGTCCCTTTCTGTGTTCCCTGACCTCGGCTAGTATTTTTGACTATTCTTTGTACGTTAAATCCGGCCATTCTAAGGACCGGTAATACGTTACTTATTTGTCATCCGTGCTGTACAGTTCTACGTGCTGGATCAAACAGTAATCCTGACATTACGACATGGCCATAGATCCTGTAGAACTGTGTCAGCACATAGCTGCTTGCGAGAGGAAATTAGAGGAGAATGATCACCGCATGGATCAATTCACTCAGGCTTTAAGTACGCTTCTCGCTAGAATGGAGCATCTGCAGCCTGCAGTGTCTCCTCCTATAGCACCTCTACCCTGTGTACCTCCACCCACTGTTAATAGGACTCCTTGCATCTCCTTATCACCATCCCTACAGTTTGATGGCAATATCCAGGAATGCAGGGGTTTTCTTAATCAGGTGGAGTACCATTTTGAGGCCTCACCAGGGTCATTCCCCACGGACAGAGCAAGAATTGGTTATCTAATGAATCAATTAAAGGGCAAGGCCCTTGCCTGGGCTAATCCGTTGTGGGAGAGTAATCGGAGCATAGCTCATAATTACCAGGAATTCCTTGCCAAATTCAAGCTCACGTTTGAGCCATTGGGTAGAGAGGATGACGCCTCCACTGCCCTAATGCACATCAGACAAGGTAACCGGTCTATCTCGGATTATGCTATTGAATTCCGTACCTTAGCTTCCGAGGTAGACTGGACTAACAATGGGTTAATCTCAGCATTCAAAAAGGGTCTCTCAGAGACTATACTAGATGAGATAGCCGCTAAAGAATTACCTAAGAGTCTTAACGAATTTATTACGTTTGTCATGCATATTGATAATAGGTTAAGACTCAGAGAAGTCACCAGAAGCAAGACCAGACGTACGGCTATGTCCCTAGCACCTCAATTCTCTAAACCTGTTTTGTCTAACCTCCCTGTACAGTCCGAACCCGAACCTATGCAGTTGGGGGTCACTAGACTGTCAGAGGCCGAAAAACAGTATAGGAGAAGGGAGGGGTTATGCCTATATTGCGGTAGAAAGGGACATATGATAACTAATTGTCCAGTGCGTCCGGAAAACTTCCGCACCTAAGAACCTTAAGGGGACAGATCTTAGGTGTGATGGAGTTGTCCTCTAACAAAAACAAAAGTAGATTCCTACTTGAGGTATCTATTTCCCTTGATAACAAGAAGTTTTCTTGCAGTGCCCTAATGGACTCAGGTGCTTCTGGAAATTTTATTGATGTCCAGTTTATTAGGGGTAATGAGATACCGGTCAGGGAGAGACCTACGCCGCTAGCTGTAGAGGCTATTGATGGTAGACCACTCACACAACCGCTTATAACCCACAAAACTGTCCCTATTACGATCTCCATTGGGGCCTCCCATAGGGAGGAGATGGCATTTCAGGTTATTACTTCTCCATCATGTCCTATCATATTAGGGTTTCCGTGGCTGAGTAAGCACAATCCCTATATTGACTGGGCTAATGGGGAGATATTAGAATGGGGTAAAGAGTGTATGGGGAGATGTATAAAACCAGTACTAAAGAGATTGGATACTATTGACCTTCCCACTACCACTCCCCAAACTCCTGGAGTTCCCATACAATACCGAGAACTTCAGGAGGTGTTTAACAAGGCTCAATCCGATGTATTGCCTCCCCACAGAGCATATGACTGTGCCATTAACCTGTTTCCAGGCGCTATGCCACCTAAGGGGGCAGTTTATGCCTTATCTCCCCAGGAGAGTAAAATAATGGAGGAATACATCAAAGAATCCTTGAGCAAAGGGCACATAAGAAAGTCATCCTCACCAGCTGGTGCAGGATTCTTTTTTGTTGAGAAAAAGGGTGGTGAGTTACGCCCTTGCATAGACTACAGGGCACTTAATAAAATCACTGTAAAAAATGCATACCCTATTCCACTCATTTCCGAATTGTTCGATAGACTTCAGGGAGCTAAAGTATTTACTAAGCTTGACCTTAGGAGCGCTTACAATTTGGTTAGAATTAAAGAGAATCATGAGTGGAAGGCGGCATTTAATACCCGTAGTGGACACTATGAATATCTGGTAATGCCATTTGGGTTATGCAACGCCCCGGCCGTATTCCAAGACTTTATAAATGATGTACTCAGGGAATTCATTTACTCATTTGTCTTGGTTTATTTGGACGATATTTTGGTGTATTCCCCTGATCTTCAAACTCACCACTCCCATGTGAAACAGGTTCTGCAGACGTTGTTGAAAAATAAACTTTATTGTAAATTAGAAAAGTGCATATTTGACCAGCCTGAAGTCCACTTTTTGGGTTACAACATCTCTGCATCGGGATTTCAAATGGATCCTAAAAAACTAGAGGCTGTACTACACTGGCCATTACCCTCTGGTTTAAAAGCCATTCAAAGGTTTATTGGTTTTGCCAACTATTACAGAAGATTCATCAAGGGATTTTCTTCTGTAATAGCCCCAATCACAAATATGACTCGCAAAGGGGTTAGTAGCACGGTATGGTCCAAAGAGGCTGTGAATGCTTTTGAGACTCTTAAACAAAGATTTGCCTCTGCAGACATACTAAAACATCCCGACACCAGTAAACCTTTTATATTGGAGGTTGATGCATCCGAGACAGGGGTAGGGGCTGTTCTCTCTCAGAGAGAAAGCCAGGGAACACCATTGCATCCTTGTGGCTACTTCTCCAGAAAGATGTCTCCTGCTGAGCGCAACTATGATATTGGCAATAGAGAACTGTTGGCCATTATTCTTGCCCTCAAGGAGTGGCGACATCTTTTGGAGGGTTCCAAGGACCCCCTGTTGATCATAACCGACCACAAAAATCTGGCATATATAGGGGATGCCAAACGTTTGTCTTCCAGACAGGCTAGATGGTCACTGTTCCTTTCACGTTTTAACTTTCTCATTACTTATAGACCTGGTTCTAAAAATACCAAGGCTGATGCCTTGTCCAGGCAATTTGATAATGAGCCCGCTCCGGAACAGATGACATCTCCTATTATTCCAGCAGAGTGTATTATTGCTACTACTCTCCTCTCACTGTCTTCTCCACTGCTTGGTACCATACTGGAGGCCCAGCCTCAGGCGCCCAGTGGTAAACCGTGTGATAAACTGTTCGTTCCCCTATGTGAAAGGGTTAATATCATGAAAGTGTTCCATGACAATATAACTGCTGGACACCCGGGCATCAATAAGTCCACTGCCGCGATCACTAGATCATTTTGGTGGGATTCACTCAGGAAAGATGTAAAGGAGTATGTGCAGGCATGTTCTGTGTGTGCAGTTTCTAAGGTGACTCATGCACTTCCTTGTGGCCTGTTGCAGCCTCTTCCTGTTCCTGAGATTCCATGGTCCCACCTATCCATGGACTTTATTGTTGAGCTTCCTAGCTCTGCTGGGTTCACTACTATTCTCATGGTTGTAGACCGATTTTCTAAGATGGCTCACTTCATTCCTCTCAAGAAGTTGCCATCTTCGCAAGATTTGGTCCTAATTTTCATACGTGAAATTGTCCGTTTTCATGGCATCCCCCACAATATTGTGTCTGATAGGGGCTCTCAGTTTGTGTCCAGGTTCTGGAGGGCGTTCAGTAAACAATTGGGGATTGATCTCTCCTTCTCCTCCTCCTACAATCCACAGACCAATGTTACAGCTGAGAGGGCTAACCAGTCATTAGAAGTTTATTTGCGTTGTTTAATTAATAGCACACACGACAATTGGTCCGAACTACTCCCGTGGGCCGAGTTCGCTAGAAACATAGAAACATAGAAACATAGAATGTGACGGCAGATAAGAACCATTCGGCCCATCTAGTCTGCCCAATTTTCTAAATACTTTCATTAGTCCCTAGTCTTATCTTATAGTTAGGATAGCCTTATGTTCGTTCCCCTATGTGAAAGGGTTAATATCATGAAAGTGTTCCATGACAATATAACTGCTGGACACCCGGGCATCAATAAGTCCACTGCCGCGTTCATGACTCCTCTGGGCACAGTCCATTTTTTGTCAGTAATGGTAGGCATCCTACGGTTCTCCCTGCGGTATTTTCTGATACTGCCATTCCTGCTCTGGATGAGCGTCTGGCCTCCATTCAGGATACCTGGGTTAAGGTTCAAACTGCTCTAGGGGCTGCTGCTGAACGCTTCAAACATTTTGCTGATAAGCGTAGGAGTGCCAACCGGTGTACCAAGTGGGGGACCGGGTTTGGTTGTCATCTCGCAACATCAAGCTTAAGGTCCCTAGCATGAAGTTTTCCCCCAGATTCCTTGGTCCCTATAGAGTGCTTCGTAGGATCAATCCAGTGTCTTACTCTCTGGCTCTTCCTGCATCTTTAGGGATTCCCAACACTTTTCATGTGTCCTTACTCAAACCTCTTGTCTGCAATAGATATACTGTTCCTTGTGTTCCTCCCCCTCCGGTGGTGGTGGGTGGTCAGGAAGAGTATGAGGTATCTTCTATCGTGGATTCTAGGTTTTCTCGGGGCACTTTACAGTACTTGGTTGTTTGGAAAGGTTACGGTCCTGCTGATCGTTCTTGGGTTTCGGCTCCTGACCTGCATGCGGGCCATAAGATCCGCGCTTTTCACGCTAAATTTCCTCTCAAGCCTGGTCCTGTCCGCCCGGTGGGCGTTCTTCAGGTGGGGGTAATGTCACATATTCATCCGCTTATAGAAATGTGGTTAATGACATTTACTGTCCACACAGGAAAAGTTGTGCCGAGCAGCAACCTAATCCACAGAAGGGTTAATGCTGAGCAGTAATTGTGCAAATGAAACCTGGTGTCATGTATTCATCCGCTTAGAGAAAAGTGATTAATGACATTTACTGTCCACACAGGAAAAGTTGTGCCGAGCAGCAACCTAATCCACAGAAGGTTAATGCTGAGCAGCAATTATGCAAATGAAACCTGGTAACTGACTTTGGGGTCAAAGGCCGGTTACAGCCTATCAGAACTAAAGGAGGGGTATTTAGGCCCAGTTCTCAGCCTGCTCAGTGCCCTGTCGTGGTTTCCCTTGTGGTTGTCTGAGAGCGCGTTCCTGTTTATAGTTTTCTAACTGGTTTTTGACTTTGGCTTTGTTTATTGACTTCTCTATATTCTGGTATCCTGACTCCTGGCTTTCCTGATCGCTGTGTCCCTTTCTGTGTTCCCTGACCTCGGCTAGTATTTTTGACTATTCTTTGTACGTTAAATCCGGCCATTCTAAGGACCGGTAATACGTTACTTATTTGTCATCCGTGCTGTACAGTTCTACGTGCTGGATCAAACAGTAATCCTGACACCCCTGCCATCCTATGCTCATTTGCACCTGCTACAGCACAAGAGGTTTCTGCTCTGCTCAAGTCCTCCCTCCCCACCACCTGCTCCCTCGATCCTATTCCATCGCATCTCATCCGCACTTTGTTTCCCTCTCTTGCTCTTCCTCTCGCTAACATTTTCAATCTCTCCCTTTCCTCTGGCACATTTCCCTCACCCTTCAAACATGCAACCGTAACCCCAATTCTGAAAAAGCCCAACCTTGATCCCAACTCCCCATCCAACTACCGCCCTATCTCGCTACTGCCATTTGCCTCCAAGATCCTCAAGAGAGTTGTGTACGCCAGATTGACAGACTTTCTCGAATCCAAGTCTCTGCTTGACCCCCTTCAGTCTGGATTCCGCGCTGGTCACTCTGTCGAAACCGCTGTTACCAAAGTATCCAACGATTTAATTGCTGCTAAATCTCGCGGCCAATACTCTATCCTAATCCTCCTTGATCTTTCTGCCGCCTTTGACACTATTGATCATCAACAGCTTCTTCACATTCTCTGTAACTTTAGTCTACGGAATACTACTCTCTCCTGGTGCTCCTCCTACCTCTCCCAGCGCTCTTTCAGTGTTTCTTTCTCTGGCTTTGCCTCTTCTCCCCAACCCCTCTCTGTCGGCGTCCCCCAAGGTTCTGTCCTCGGCCCCCTACTGTTCTCTATCTATACTGCTTCCCTTGGTAAACTCATTAGCTCCTTTTGGCTTCCAATATCATTTATATGCAGATGACACGCAAATCTACCTGTCCTCCCCTGATCTCTCTCCGCCCACCTTGACTCGTGTTTCTGACTGCCTCTCTGCTATTTCCAACTGGATGGCTGCTCACTTCCTTTAACTCAACCTGTCCAAAACAGAACTTCTAGTTTTTCCTCCCTCAAGTGCTGCTACTCCTGTGTCTGTCTCCATCCAAGTCAACGGTGCTACTATCCCCTCTACCTCGCAGGCTCGCTGCCTAGGGGTTCTTTTTGATTCTGATCTCTCTTTTACTCCCCATGTCCAATCGATAGCCAAATCCTGTCGCTTCCAACTCAAGAACATAGCGCGCATCCGCCCATATCTAACACCGGACGCGGCTAAGGTACTGGTTCATGCTGTTGTTCTCTCTCGCCTTGACTACTGCAATCCCCTTCTCACCGGTCTTCCCAACTTGCACCGCTGCAATCTATAATGAATGCGGCTGCGAGGCTTATTTTCCTGTCTGGTCGCACCTCCCACACCTCCACGCTCTGTCAGTCCCTGCATTGGCTTCCAGTTAGATATAGGGCCCAATTCAAAATTCTGGCGCTTGCTTACAAATCCCTACATAATGCTGCTCCAACATACCTATCCTCCCTTATACACAATTATGTCCCGTCGAAACCCCTGCGCTCAGCCCAAGACCTACGCCTATCCTCTGCCCGGATCCCCACCTCTGATGCTCGCCTTCAAGACTTCTCCAGGGTTGCACCTATTCTGTGGAACTCCCTTCCCTCAATCAGACTTTCATCCAGCCTCCACTCCTTCAAAAAATCTTTGAAAACTCACTTCTTCATTAAAGCGTATCAATTAAACTGTCCGCAGGTTTCTCATCCCCCACCCCATGACTCCTTTCCCGCAACTGTCAAAAATGACCTACCAAGCACTCAATAAACCCTTCTCTAACAAACTATTTAATTCCGCTACTTTAACCCTTTGTGTCACTATACCCCACTCCCTCTAGCATGTAAGCTCATCGACCAGGGACCTCAACCCCCTCTGTTCCTGTACGTCCAGTGGTCTGATCTCAATTATGTGTCTGTTAGTCCACCCATTGTACAGCGCTACGGAATTTGTTGGCGCTATATAAATGATAAAATAATAACTCTTGTACAGAGCCCACACTGCATGCAGCCTTTCAGTTTGGCAGCCAGGCCCCGCCCCCCGATTTCATTGTTTAAATTACCTGTCTGTGAGTGCCTCATAAAGATGACAAACAGCTGAGTTGTTGTTTTTTTGCCTTCAAAACAATTAGCTGGTTCTCAGGATGAGACGTGGAGTCAACTCCACACTTGGATTCATAAAATGTAATTTGCTGTAAAGTAAACCAGTGATCATCTGGGGAATAACAAAGCATTATGAGTGAAGAACAGTCCTTCACATAGGTTTATACATGACTGAATTTTCATGACAGTAATTTGTCTTTATATCATTGGCTAATATGTATTACTATAGGGTAATATTTCCATTTATGTAATGTTCTCTAAAAAAAAAAAAACACCTTATTCAGTAACAAACAGATGACATTCTTGAGAAGTAACAATCCTAGTAATCTGCCTCTGTAGTAAGCAAACACAAGAACACATGACTGTTTTGTGATAGATACATTTAACAAACAAATCCACACACTACATTCACCAAACATTTTCATCTCTGTTCTTTACACACCTTACTTCCCTTATAAGCATTTCAACACAGTCCTTAAAATAGTCTACCTAGCTATATAAATATCTGTTAAGTCGTGCAAAACATATATAGACTGCCGGTTGTAAAGTTTTTTTTATGATGTGAATCCATTTTTTTTATGATGTGAATCAACTTCCCTAGTCCTGGCCTATATCATTCCACTCATTTAACAAATACAGGGCTGCATGGGGGTGGCATACATGCAAAATCAGCAGGACATTCCTTACTAACACGGGTGTTTAGGAAGCAGATTTTGTGATCTGTAAGGTGTTATTAATGTGGTCCTTAAGGGGTAAAGCATTGTGTGGCATGCTTCTCAAATTGGCTTTTTGTATTTTTAACTTCATAGTATTTCCCAGAAATCAATTTCTCTTACTCTTTTATTATTTTGCTAAACGAAAAGTCTCTTCTGTCCTAACTGATTACCGTTCATGTTTACCTGGGATCATTTAAAGCTTTGTCTTTGCAGCACTTTTAATTGCATACCTTTTTCATCATATGACCGGATACAAACATCCTGCTCTTCCCTTATTTTTTTCAATTTATTTCTTTTTGATAGAAAACATTATGTGATGTCATTCTTATGGTCCAAGACAGAAAAATTCCTGCTCATCGTGTAGTCTTGGCAGCCGCCAGTCACTTTTTTAACCTGATGTTCACAAGTGAGTACCCATCACTTTCTTAAATGCACATTCTTAGCACCATAACTACAGAATATAACTGAAAAACTTTAGGGCAACATGTACAGAGGATGAGCTACACAGCCAAAATTGTAGATTGTTATAGATAAATTTCTCCACGAGTCTTTAATCTCCCTCTCTTAGCTCTTTAAAAGAAACTCTCCTATGTTGAGAAAACTACAAAATTGTTAATGTAACTGATTGAATATCACTTTCCAACTGTCAAAGATCCAAGACTGCTTTTAAGTTATAGATGTCATTCGTGCTATATTTTTGTATCATGCATTTACAATAAGAAACTCTCCAAGCTGCAGTGCTATGCTCTCCCCTGTAAGTAGTTAGACCATTTTGGATCGGTTTGACTTGTTATCTAGGTAATGATTGAGATTTGGACGCTCTCTGTCTGAGCTAAGCCTCGCCTTAGGCTAAACACACCCCTTTCTTTCTGGTTGGGAGAGCCAGAAGCTCCTGCTTCGAATATCGAACTTAGCTCACACTGACAAAATATCTGACACTCCTTGAGGCAGGGTGGTCTCTGCGGACCATAAGTAATTAGTCAAACTGTATAGAACGTGGTTATGGTTACTAGAGTGTTCTTTTAAGTGGATACATTTTAAGTGTTCACATAAATGAGAATCTAACATTTGGAGAATCCACTATAGTTTTGTAAAATGTTTTTCTCTTTCTCTCTAGCAAACATGCTTGAATCCAAGTCTTTTGAGGTAGAGCTGAAAGACGCTGAACCTGATATTATAGAGCAATTGGTGGAGTTTGCATACACAGCAAGGTATACATTTTTTGTCTGGAAAAACAATGGTCAAAGGACTTGTTTCCAACATTGTTGCTAAATAGTTGTCATAAGCTGTTTCTATCAACAGCCAGTAGCTGCTACTTTAATTTTGAATATTTCGTTAAATATGTTGAGATATTAACTCACCTTCCATCCAGTCCTTTGCCACCATTTTCTCTGCTTTGTGGATGTTATACTATTGCAATAGTCACCTCTGGTCCAGCCACGATGGTCCTGGCAAACCACCTCCATGACCTCCGTCACCCCATTCCTAGCCCTAGTAGTGTCGTCTAGGGAGTAACCATAGCAATCACTTTACATGCTCTGTGTTGATATTCTTGGAGAACAAACCTGGTCTCTCTGAGTCAGTTCTTCAGCACAGAGGTGACCAAAAAAGACCAAATTTATATATGTCATCCCCCTCCACCCAAGCTATACATTTGCTTGTACAATGTATAGATGAAAATGTATGCTCCTTAAAATGAGCATAAGTAGAATGTACTATGTCAGAGACCGCATTGGAAACAAGCCCTACGGTGATCCTGATGAGACTAACACCTGTGTCCCAGAGGTTTGAACTGGCCCTACAGTTCTCATTGACATAGTCTCTACCTTTGTAGCAGATTTGCTTAAAGGGACACCAGAAGCACTTCAGCTTAAAGGTACGCTATAGGGTCAGGAAAACAAAAGTGTATTCCTGACCCTATAGTGTTAAAAACACTATTTAGGTGGATCGATCCCCTTACTCCGCTTGAATAGAATAAACTCCCCTTTTATTCCACTGCTGGTCTGGCCCCACCCACCTCGCCCTCTTGACTGAGATCATCACAATTGACGATCTCGGACAATCCAATGCTTTCTAATGGAAAAGTATTGGATTAACTGAGATTGTCAATTTTGATGATCTCAGCCAAAGGGGTGGTGGCGGAGCCAAACTCCCATCAGCAACTCCTCCCACTACCAAAGTATTACATGACACCCAAATCCTCCCTCCCTCCCTCCCCCCATCATTATTTTACTCTTCTAGTATATGTGTCCACATGTTAAGATTAATTCTAGGGACATATTCATTATGATATATATATATATATATAGGCCTTCATGCATATTTTGGATTATTGGATGTGAATTCATGTATTCTTAATCTGTGATCCTTACAGGGGATATTTATGACCTTCTGTTAGAATGGTGCCTATATTCTATTAGACCTGTATCTTACTTGCATTCATGTCTCTTTAACCCCAGTATCACAGCTTAACTTGAATTCTATGTGTTGTTTTTGCTCAGAAATGCTTTAGACTCGAGAAAGGAAGGTTCTCCCAAAGCTTGTCATTCCACAATTCTGTTAGTTCAGTAAATAAGGTATTAGAAGATACTAAGTTCATCTGTTATTTTACATCGCATCACTGGATTAGAAAAGCTACAATCTCTACTCTAACTTTTGATGTAATAAAGACATTTCCTTTTTTTTCTCTCCCCCATTTCAGAATATCTGTAAATAGCAATAATGTCCAATCCTTGCTGGATGCCGCCAACCAATATCAAATTGAACCGGTCAAGAGAATGTGTGTGGATTTCTTAAAAGAACAAGTGGACGCTTCGAACTGTTTGGGTAATATTGCACATATATTTTGATAGGCTACTCATTAATCAAGCATTGTGAGAAATTACATGAATCGTTTTCAGCAAGCTATTCATTTGTACTGGTTTGTAACAAATGTAAAATCTCAAATTCTTAAAGGAGCACTAAAATCAAAACCATTTTGGCAACTGTAGAGAATAGTCCAAGGATGATGCAACAAACACACACTCGTTTTCCATAGAGATATTTCTGAGTGGTGTGACAGCATATAAGATTATCTTTATACATTATTTGCTAGTTACCTTGAATAACATTTTATGTTCACTTTGATGTTAATATACCAAAAAGGTGATTGATTTCAATAAATTACAATGTTAATCTAAACTACATTTTTTTTTTACATTTTTTTTAATTCTTAAGTTTCATTCAGGTGTGCTTTATTTTCATGTATAATAACTTGCAACATTTCCTATGTAATTGTACAAACAGGAATTAGCGTTTTAGCAGAATGCCTTGATTGTCCTGAGCTAAAAGCCACAGCAGATGACTTCATTCATCAGCATTTCACTGAAGTTTACAAAACCGATGAGTTTCTGCAGCTAGGTGTGAAACGTGTTACTCATCTACTGAACCAGGACACACTAACTGTCCGTGCTGAAGATCAGGTATTGTATTTTAACTAACAGTTGAGATTGAACATCTAACTGATCCAGTATACCACACTTGGATACATGAATACCCTTTAATTATGTCACAAAAACTATAGTGGAAAAAACACAGAAATCTATTGTCTGGTTCCGTTAAAATAACATAATGCAGCATTGATATTAAAAGGATACTCGAATCACTGAAACAACTTCAGCTTAATGGTGTGGCTTTGATGTACAGGTCATTCCTCTGCAGTCTCACTGCTCAGTTCTCGGCCATTTAGATGTTAAATCGCTTTATATATGCAGCCATAGCCACACCTCCACTGCATGTGACCTACACAATCTCCATACTCTTTTCCTGTAAAGAGAGGTCTAATGCTTAAACTTCCTTTCAGCACAGTCTGTTTAAGTTAGATTTTCTCTCCTGCGCTATTAACAGCCTTCTAGAGCCAGCATGTGCTGTCTGCTGTGATTAAAGTTCAAATAGCAGCAGGAGATAGTACTTTCTGTGCTGCAGATCTGATTAAACCACTTTTTTCATGCAGGCTCTGTCAATCATAGCCAGGGGAGGTGTGGCTATGGCTGCATAAACAGAAACAAAGTGATTTAACTCCTAAATGGCCGCGAATTGAGCAGTGAGACTTCGGGTATGTGATCTACACACTAAAACTGTTTAAGCTAAAGTTTCCTTGGTGCTTAACATTTTCCTTTAATTTTAGTTTCAGGAAGCTGCTTCTCCCACATTTATTACCAATTTCCATTAAAGGGACTTTCCAGGGCAGATCCTTTGTTTTATTGCATTATATTAGCTATGCATTAAAGCATTTTTGTTAAGTTTCGTTTTTAGCTTAATAAAATTATTTTATTAAAATTATCTTCATACAGATATTTCTTATTCTCATTTTTATGATGATTTCTTTTTGAGGCTAAAGATTCAACTGACGTTTTTTATGTATTTATTTTCCTTTTTAGAATATAGTCTGAATTCTATGTCAGTACATCTACTGTGTTTTCAATAACACTATATGTTTATTTTAGGTATATGATGCAGCTGTCAGATGGTTAAAATATGATGAGCCAAATCGACAACCATTCATGGTGGACATTCTTGCCAAAGTCAGATTTCCACTTATTTCCAAAAACTTTCTAAGCAAAACCGTGCAGGCTGAGCCTCTGATACAGGACAATCCTGAATGCCTGAAAATGGTGATAAGTAAGGGACAGTTGTTTCTGAAATAATGGTTTTAAATAATTTTGGTTGAAAGATATTTTGTTACTTAGAAGGTATTAATGTTATACTGACGTTCTATGAAAAATTTATCTCGCTCTACTCTTCTGTCTAAATTAAAATATTTAGCAAGTAAGTCCCATGCTTTTGTGTCCCTTTGCATAAATGATCGAGAAGCACACAAGCAGGTTACATGTCCGTTAGGATAGGGCTTGATATATCCATAGCTTCATGGTGACTCAGGAATACTTAAGTGTGTCTCTTTGCCTATCTAGGACAATCAAATGTGTCCCCTTACCAGCCCTGTAAGCTGCAAGGAAACAGCAGGCATCAGATCTCCCGGAGATCTGATACCAGCTTCCCTTACTCCTTCTGTGTTTTATATCAAAGTGTTTTTAATTGTGTATAAAATGATCGAAGAACAGAAGAATTTACAAGTGAAGGGGCTTCACTGAAATCTTATGATTGTGTGTAATGTTTTCAAATATTTTTTTAAAATATTTAATAAATATTAAAATATTTAATATATAATTCCTTTATTTTACTACAATTCTCCACGTGGCATTAAGAATTGTGGAGAATAAAAGATGCAATTGTGTGCCCTCTTATTTTTCTGTATAAAGCATGCTAAGGTCAAATTAAAACTAAGAAAGAACAAATGGTTAGTTGCATGGGAGAGACATTCATTTGTGTAAATAAATTAACAGTTGTGTGATTTCCTTTTATTACTGTGTATTGCTGTAGTAGTCAAACGTGGACCTCTGTCTTTTAGAAACTACAGGTTTCCTTGTATGGGCTTGTAGATATTTTTGTAGATCAGTAGTGTAATAGCTTTAAGACTGAATTAACTAATTAGTGTTATAACTAGAATGTATTTTCTGTACATGATCACCAAATTTTCATCTCTTAGGTGGAATGCGCTATCATCTTCTGTCTCCAGAAGACAGAGAAGAATTGGTAGATGGAACCAGACCACGGAGAAAGAAACATGATTATAGGATTGCCTTGTTTGGAGGCTCGCAGCCTCAGTCCTGCAGATACTTTAATCCAAAAGTAAGATATCTCTCTTTCCATTATCTGATCATGACTTCATAACTTTCACTCATAGCCACCAATTTAAAACTACTGCAATGTCTAGAGGCTCCCACGCGCATAACCAACAGGAAAAGAACATCTTTCCTGAATTTTGATTTATGGAAATCTTTCCTGTTTTCATTTACTCTCCTGCCGACACTTAACAATTGCTCTGTCACCAATCACTACTTTAGGTAGCACACACAGAGTTTATCACTAAAGTGCGAATTCTGTATACTATATTTTTAGGTTTGAACATTTTGGCCTAAAAAAATAAGATTTACTTTACATTCGTTGTAGTGAATAATCCTGACACTGTTATTCACAAAAACTGGGAATTCCCCAGGAAATCATCCATTTAAGGCCAAAATCACTGAGCTGGAAACCTAGCTGACTTGGGTAATTTTGGTAGTTATCCAAAATAATCATATGAAAATCACTTTGTATGTCATGTTTTCTTAAGGTAAAGCATATATGTGTTTTTTTTTTGGATATTGTATGAATATAAAAATATATCATTTATTCTGTTCACCAGGATTACAACTGGACTGATATTCGATGTCCCTTTGAGAAGCGACGAGACGCAGCTTGTGTTTTTTGGGACAATGTTGTTTATATTTTGGGTGGTTCTCAACTTTTCCCAATTAAGAGAATGGACTGCTATAATGTTGTGAAAGATTCCTGGTACTCTAAACTGGGGCCTCCTACGCCACGAGACAGCCTAGCTGCATGCGCCGCTGAGGGCAAGATCTACACGTCAGGAGGCTCAGAAGTGGGTGAGAGATCTATCCATTCCTTCAAGTGCAGGGCAGATTCAAAAACAGCCCTTAAAGATATGCATGTGATATGAAAGTTGGGTCACTGGAGGAGGATCAGAGCCCATTTTCTTTTCTGAGTGATTTATTTTGCTTTTTTATAATGCATTTGCAATGGTGGCAAAGCCACTTTAGGGTAATAATTTAAGGTAATCTTACCTTAACTTGCTTTCCCACTCATTAACATGACTCCATTTATTATTTTTGGATAGAGTTTTCAAATGATTTATCTACATAAGTCCTAATTACAATCTATGAGAGACTTTGTAGAAATAATTTTTTTTTCCTAATTGTAATAATTTTAAACATTTATCCAAAAATATTAAATCGATGCCATTGTTCAAAGGGTGTTAAAAAAAATAAAAAAAAGTTTCATAATCAGGGACAAAGGGTGTTTTAAAACATAATTTTCATTTAAAACTATACCCTTAAAAAAAGATTGTGGTACAGTCTGTTTTAGCCTTCCAAAATAATACAGTAGAAAATGTGGTGTAATTAAAACTTCACTTTTAATTGATTCATATTAAAATAAGAAAACTATCAAAAATGAACACATCGTCAAAACAAAGGTATAAGAATCACCTGTGATCTTCCCACACATTATTTCTTTTTCTTCTCTTTTAATGTGTGGGAAGATCATGGTTGATTTTTGTACCTTTGTTTAGACAATGTGTTCATTTTTGATTGGTTTCTCATTTTAATATGAATGAATAAAAAGTTTTAATCACACCACTTTTACTACTATAAATTTCAGCTGTACTTCTAATAAAATGTAGGAAATTTGATATGAAAGAGGAAAAACAATAATTTTGGTATTGCAGAAATATTTAAGATAACTAGGATGTGTTAATCAATGACCTGCATACAGTCACCAATCGTTGCCAACTTACATAACCGCATAAACTGATCAGTAGCCATAATCTGTGCATTATACTTCCAGTTTAAGAATCCTAAGCAGCATTTACATGGTTATTCAATAAAGTGGGAATGAAATTGAATTCATATTAAATTTGAAATATAAGGTCAAAATTACTGAAATTCACTTTAAATTCCTAACAATTCTCACTTTTGTGAATTCCCCTGTAAATTTTTTTTATTTTATTTTTTACATATTTGAATTAGGGGTGACGGCGTGTATTTCCACTAAAGAGATTATGAAGTTCCTGATCATCTTTCATATTTCCCAAGCATTATGACGTTGATTAAAAAGTAAAATCCATATATTTTGTGTACCTCTCCAGGAAATTCTGCCCTTTACCTGTTTGAGTGCTATGATACGAGAACTGAGAGCTGGCGCACGAAGCCCAGCATGTTGACCCAGAGATGTAGCCATGGGATGGTAGAAGCATGTGGGCTCATCTATGTATGTGGAGGCAGCTTGGGGAACAATGTTTCTGGGAGGGTGTTGAATTGCTGTGAAGTGTATGATCCAGCAACAGAAACGTAAGTATGCTAGGTTTATGCTTCAGAAGTAATCTATTTCCTTTTTTTTTTTTTTTTTTTTTATATAGAATTTAAAAAAAAAATTATTTATAAAATATTTTGCAGGTGAAGAGTGAATGTTTGGTTTTAAAGAAAAATATATGCAAACCAAATTTACCTTTTAACAATTCCTAGAACTGTACGTATTAAGCAGTGCCCTTTGGTTCAGTGGTTTTCACTTTCCTTGGGAGTGATCAGTCTGATGTTTGTTCAGACCACTGAAAACGCAGAGCAACCCAATTTTAGGTCCTGACCCAAGGTTCAAGATCCACTGCTTCGGACAGCATAAGGCGATTTTTAATTTAGTCTTTTGCAATCCAATAATTAATCTAACAAAAAATGTTTAGTAATTGCAGCTCTTATAGCTCAATCAATATATTGTATGGATAATTGTAGTAATCTCCAAATATAAGGAGATCTGCTTGATATCCTCAGGGTAAAATGTGTCTTTGTAAATTAGAGCACCAGGTATTAAACTTTAGCTAATTTAAGCTCATTCTAATTGCCTGTTATTGTGAGTAATTGTGTTCCGGGATTTTCATAGTATATGCATCTGTGGAAATCTATTGAAAGATGGAATCTGCTGTCTTTATCTCATTGTTCCATCATGTCCCCAAATTAATAGGCATAATGCTGCCAGTAATAATTGATATCACAAAAGAAAGGAGGACATAGAAGTTCTCTTTAATCACATTGTTTTGTACAACACAGATTAAATGCAATTATTTTGATTTTTAAGGGTCATTTTTATTTTTATATAATTTTTTTTTAATTAAAATAGTTCACTGCTTGGTCACCAGCAGGTGTCTGTGAAAAGTATTTTTTTTATATAATAATTATTCCTAACATTTTGGTTTGCCGGTTTGTTTTATTTTATTATTTTTTTCTTCTTTTCAGGTGGACTGAGCTGTGTCCAATGATAGAGGCTCGCAAAAACCATGGATTGGTGTTTGTGAAAGACAAGATATTTGCCATTGGTGGGCAAAATGGTTTAGGTATTGAAACAGTTTGTTGAAGTTCTGTGGAACAAAAAGCACATACAATGGATAGAAATATATTGCCTATTTAGGACCAGTTTAGCAATAAATTAAAGCATGTAGTTGCATGTCTATCAACAATGGCTATAGGGGGTATTATTTGTCATCACAGAAGAAGTGTATGTTTTATAGACACAAGAATATCTAGGATTAACACATTAAAATCTATATAATTTTGTTGGTCTCTGGTAGATGGCTTTCTTATATTTAGAGATCCAAAGTAGGTGACACCTTTCTCCCACAGCTCTTTGCAATGAAACATCAGTGGAGATGGCTCTGCACTCATTTGGATAGACTGCCATATTTATTTTATCTAGTATTTCCTAATGGTCCAATGTACTGCTTCTAGTAATAGGGAGAGTCATGGCTTGCTCGAGGCCTGAAGTATGGACAAGCCAAATCAGTGCAGCATTATTACACCAAAATCTGGTTACATTATAATTGTTTTATAAATTTTAAATGTACATTGATTGTTTTACAGTTTTTTACTTGTTTATATCAAGCTTTTCGTGTGCACCATTCTGATCAAATTCGTCATCCATTACTTATCTAGTTTGTAAGCTATACGAAACATTTTGCCTATATAGATGTAAAATGTCTTTAGATTTACTGTACTTGCTGTGGCAGCACTATATTATAGTGACCACTGAATACACTTTACAATCGCTATGTAAATTAATGCATGCATACTTGCATGCCACATGAATTATGATCTGATTTGCTATCCATACAACATATAGTTCTCCAGAAGTGGATCTTCAACGCTCATAATACTTTACCAGCGTGTGGGGGATCTTCCCATGTCTAAATTGTATAGTAGGGCAGCTCTGTTCTGTACCAGGTTACTACATCAATATGGGGAATTTGGACGGGCAAGAGAGGAAAAAGACTGTTAGGTGAGCAAAGGAAGCTTCTAACTAAAAATCCATGGTTTGAAATAGTACCAAAGCAACCACAATATAATTTATTTTTTTCATGCTCCACTCATATTCCATTTCGAGTAAATCTCTTTTAAACATATACCACAACTTCAAAGGCAAATGAACCTGACGTTTACTTTTTATACAATTTATTTTCAGGTGGGCTAGACAGCGTGGAATATTATGATATTAAACTTAACGAATGGAAGTTGGTGTCCCCCATGCCATGGAAAGGAGTTACTGTAAAGTGTGCGGCAGTGAGCTCGGTCATTTACGTCTTGGCTGGCTTCCAGGGTGTGGGTCGATTAGGACATATTTTGGAATATAACACAGAGACAGACAAATGGATTGCAAACGCCAAGGTCCGCGCCTTCCCAGTAACTAGCTGTTTGATCTGTGTGGTCGATACATGTGGAGCAAATGAAGAAACGTTGGAAACTTGAATACTACCCATTGTTCGCTCTGTGCAGGACTGGACAATTGTCATTGTCACACTAAAATAGTGTGTGACATTTATGGGTAGGGTACTACAAGGTTTTTATTTCTAGATTAATGACATTCTGGAAAAGCAGGAAACATTATTTTAATCCTTTGAATAACAGGGGTGCCTTCAGCTTATTTCAACGCACTATATTGGTTACATCTCTGGTATTCAGAGGTAAAACATATCTGTGTAATGTCTTAACCACAGGCTTTTAGTTTAGTTTTTATTATTTTATTAAGTAAAATTCAGCCGGTGAGAAAAACATATATTTTTTTTTTTTCTTATTGTCCTCATTTTGGATTATTTAATAAATATGGTCACCACGTGTTTTTTTTTTTTTTTTTTTTTTTTTTTTTTTTTTTTTTTTTTTTTTTTTTTTTTTTTTTTGTTTTGTTCTTTTTGTTTATTTGTTATCCTTTCACCAAGGGCAGCTGCTTTGGTGCCATCCTCAAGAAATGTTAGCAGAGCATTTAGTTCTTAGTTTTGTGGTGTGTGATTTGGAGCTTTTACATAAGACTTTCAGCTTCGATATAGACATCTTTATAAATACTATGTATGCTCAGTCTTACTCCGTTCAGAGATTTTTGTTTAGCAATTTCACTGTGTACTGTTCATTGTTATAAACTGCTTAATTTGGGGGGGAAATCCATTTAACGTGCTGTATGTTTTTTTTTTTATTCCTCATGTTTGTATTGCATTGAGAACCTAGCTGCCCAAGCTACTTATGTAAGCTCAGTCAGTTTTATTAAAATATTATTCTGTTGTGACTTGGCTGTACTAGTTATCACGTGACACTGTTGTGTATAATTTTAGAGCAACAAATTCTAGACTTTGCATATCAGTCACACATCTTGTCTAGCTAATGCTACATAGACTAAAAGCTATACAGTTGCAAGAAAAAGTATGTGAACCCTTTGGAATGACATGGATTTCTGCACAAATTGGTCATAAAATGTGATCTGATCATCATCTAAGTCACAATAGACAATCACAGTCTGCTTAAACTAATAACACACAAAGAATGAAATGTTGCCATGTTTTTATTGAACACACCATGTAAACATTCACAGTGCAGGTGGAAAAAGTATGTGAACCCTTGGATTTAATAACTGGTTGAACCTCCTTTGGCAGCAATAACTTCAACCAAACGTTTCCTGTAGTTGCAGATCAGACGTGCACAACGGTCAGGAGTAATTCTTGACCATTCCTCTTTACAGAACTGTTTCAGTTCAGCAATATTCTTGGGATGTCTGGTGTGAATCACTTTCTTGAGGTCATGCCACAGCATCTCAATCGGGTTGAGGTCAGGACTCTGACTGGGCCACTTCAGAAGGCATATTTTCTTCTGATTAAGCCATTCTGTTGATTTACTTCTATGCTTTGGGTCATTGTCCTGTTGCACCATCCATCTTCTGTTGAGCTTCAGCTGGTAGACAGATGGCCTTAAGTTCTCCTGCAAAATGTCTTGATAAACTTGGGAATTCATTTTTCCTTCGATGATAGCAATCCGTCCAGGCCCTGACGCAGCAAAGCAGCCCCAAACCATGATGCCCCCACCACCATACTTAAAAGTTGGGACGAGGTTTTGATGGTGTGCTGTGCCTTTGTTTCGCCACACATAGTGTTGTGTGTTTCTTCCAAACAACTCCACTTTGGTTTCATCTGTCCACAGAATATTTTGCCAGTACTGCTGTGGAACATCCAGGTGCTCTTGTGCAAACTGTAAACGTGCAGTAATGTTTTGTTTGGACAGCAGTGGCTTCCTCTGTGGTATCCTCCAATGAAATCCATTCTTGTTTAGTGTTTTACGTATTGTAGATTCGCTAACAGGGATGTTAGCATTTGCCAGTGACTTTTGTAAGCCTTTAGCTGACACTCTAGGATTCTTCTTCACCTCATTGAGCAGTTTGCACTGTGCTCTTGCAATCATCTTTACAGTGCTGAACTTTCTCCATTCATAGACAATTTGTCTTACTGTGGACTGATGAACAGTAAGGCTTTTGGAGATACTTCTATAACCCTTTCCAGCTTTATGCAAGTCATCAATTCTTAATCGTAGGTCTTCTGAGAGCTCTTTTGTGCGAGGCATCCTTCACATTAGGCAATGCCTCTTGTGAAAAGCAAACCCAGAACTGGTGTGTGTTTTTTTTTTATAGGGCAGAGCAGCTATAACCAACACCTCCAATCTCATCTCATTGATTGGACTCCAGTTGGCTGACATCTCACTCCAATTAGCTCTTGGAGATGTCATTAGTCTAGGGGTTCACATACTTTTTCCACCTGCACTGTGAATGTTTACATGGTGTGTACAATAAAAACATGGCAACATTTCATTCTTTGTGTGTTATTAGTTTAAGCAGACTGTGATTGTCTATTGTTGTTACTTAGATGATGATCAGATCACATTTTATGACCAATTTGTGCAGAAATCCATATCATTCCAAAGGGTTCACATACTTTTTTCTTGCAACTGTAGATATAAATTACACCATTCCACACCCTTTCAAGCCAAATATAAATCTTGGTTTATCTGCTACTTGTCATGACAAAAGACACAACTTTCCCAACATTATTATGAGTAGTAGTAATAGTATTATCACCTATTCTATGCCTACTGAACAAATGTCATCTTAAATTTCAGTGCAATAAATTATTTTTACAAACCTACAAATGATTTATATAATTAATTGCAGAATATGATCCCGCCGTTGATTAGTGGTGGTGATAACCGATTTGATCACAGAGCAAGTGATCATCACAATTAAAATGTATACTTATATAGACTCTGGAAGTAATAAGCATGCAGAACGTTGAAGTGAATGGGAGATACAGACAAGATAGGGTGAGTACATAGGTATCAATAGCTCTGGTCCCCCAGATGTTGATGGCCTTCATCTGCCAGAATTAATAGTGTGCAATTGATGGCCAGATTATTTTGGGAGTAGTAGTTTAATAACATTTTGGGGTGTGTAGTTTGAGATACGTACTCTAGTGACACAGTGAAGATTGTCAGGTTGTAGAATAGATATTTATAGTGTACCCACATTACATTACTTGGTAATCAGAAATCAGTTGTGTAACATCACTCGAGCTTCCATTGATTACACAGAAATAAATGATTGCATTGTTTTGAAAAAGAAGATATTTAAGTAATCCAAAGTAATCTGGCAATGAAAATTCTTCTCACTGGTTATAAGCAATATTCAGGAGAGATCAAAACACCAGCAACCATGCAATATCCCGAAATCAGAGTAATGGGAGGATGTGGTATGACATAATATTTTCTGGAGCTCTGACTAAATACAGAGCCTTGGATTGCAATGGGAGCTCTGAAGCGGTCTCTGGTGTCACAGTGTGCAAAAGATGTCATTTGCTCCATGCTGAGGACCAGGAACATAAATGTCACAGACATGCAAGCCACCTCACCAATAGATGTGCATGGCTAGTTTTGTATGTATGAGAGCAAGTGGCTTGTCGTACACGGTGTGTCAATAAATAGCTAGTTAGCATGGGGCTTGCAATGTTGTTTGGTTCATAAGGTGTGTGAATGACTAATAAGCAAGAATGACCCTTTTGTTTTGCACCCAACTAATACACCTGTTTAGGTTCTATGGAATAAGTTGGGTCTGGATTTAAAGCAATTATGTTTGCATTCAGTGTTCTTGCATAGCAAGACCACTTAATGTTATCTCACATATATATTATTCTTATTATAGCCAAATTTACCACCCTAACTCCTCCCACAGTTTTAACACTACATAGACAGAAATATACCAAAACGTGCAGATTTTTACCGATTGGATTGCTATTACTTTGTGGAACGTTTCGCCGAATGGTTCAAGGAATATCATCGTTCTTGTGGCGAAATTGGTCCCATAGGAATGAATGCCAAAATGTTCAAAGCTAGAGTGGGAGCTGGCAAAAGCTGAAAAATCAGGACATGATTTCTAAACTGCCACCACTCCCTCATTTTCAAGCCCACCTACACAAATCTTATATCAAAACGTTCAGCTATCCCTGCTGCCACTAAAAATGTCCACGGCTAAGCCATAGTCCTGATAGTTTTTACAATATGACCATTTGTTTGCAACTCACGCCGTCCATTGACATTCATTGAAACTCCACTCTAGCCAGTTCAAATTTGAAGGGCAATTTCTAAACTGCGACTGTTCCTTCATTGTTAATATTTCAGAGACATACTATGCATCAAAATGTAGGTCTAGGTCTTGTGATTCTCACAATGTAAAGCTCTTCACTGTAGGATTTATAGTTTTTAATATACGACTGTTTGAAGATGACAACAGCCAAAAGAGTTTGACCTGTGCCAGGCTGGAGCAGCAAGCGATGTCATAGACAGGGCCTTTTGTACACCTGTTAATGTTTTTATAAATGTATGTTTTAATGTAACTGTGAAGCACTTTGGGCAACAACGTTGCAATTAAATGTGCTATATAAATAAATAAGTTACTCCGTCCACTCCAGTTGTAGCCTACTGGTGGAGGCAAGAACACTTCACACAATTTCCCCAGAAATTACCAGATTTTACTAATTTCATGACTCATGATTTTATAAAGGGCACGGAGGCGAGTATTGTGCTTTCTCTTTCTTTATTATACCTCAGCAGCAAAGAAAAAATGTATAAACATTAAAGAAACCAAACTAGACTAAGTATTCAAAGGGTTAACATAGTCTGTTATCCTTAACCAATAGGAACAGTCCTTCTATCCATAACCACCCATGTGACCTCTCCTCTCCCTCTTTCTTTGATCCTGCCAAAGCCAATACTTTAGAACCTTGCGTATATGGCTTGAATCATAATCGGTGCTTCGTTATCTTCTCCATAACAAACATGAACATTAACCAATTGAACGGAGACGATAACCGATCATCCATTTCGTCGACTTGAAGTCATTAAGCTGAAACGGGAGAGAAAAGAAATATGGTAACGTGTGGTCTAGCGACTGTATGTTACATACTCCACAAATATTCCTTATTATACTTGACAACCTCTACAGACTACCTTACCTGCTGTAGACTTCCTTGTGTCACATGTCTCTATCCTACTATGCCCTAAACATTATACCAACCTCACTATAATTTCTTATCAATACAACTTACTGGGTGGGAGTTCGAATCTCATCTTTTATCTAATACCAACTTCGCGGTACTTACCATGTTACCTCCGCGATCCTTCTTGGGTGGGCCAATACTCGCCTCCGTGTCCTTTATAAAATCATGACTTTACGTCATGAAATTAGTAAAATCTGGTAAGTTTATTAAAGGACACGGAGGCTCATATTGTGCTAGTTTAAAGCTGAGCAATGACCGACGACGTGACATGTTCTGTAGGGCAAAAATAATATTCTTTAAAAGTGGACTCCCGTGACCAATCCGCTGTACGTAAAAGATCTTCCAATCTGCAGCCTAACGTAAATGCTTTGGTCGCAATAGCTCCCCTAGTGGAGTGTGCCTTGTACACGGAGGTATCAATATTTGCGGAGGCCATTACCCATTTCACCCATCGGGCTATCGTAACCGACGATACTGGGTGATGCGGTGCCTTGATGGCTATAAATAGTTAATGTCTATTAGAGTCTCGTAATGTCTGTGTTTGTTCCTCATACTCTTTGAGACAAACAATGGGGCATAGATTTAAATTGTGAGGGAACACTGGATAGGATACCGTCGAAATTGCGGTTTTTGTACGCCTGGAAATGTTAAACGTCACTCCTGATGGAGTGAACGAGCGTGCATCCACATCCAATGCTCGCACCTCGGACACCCTTTTACATGATATCAAGCAGAAGAGCATTGCTAGTTTCGCTGATAACTGTTTCAGCGTAAGGTCGGAGTTCTGTGGCCACTGCTCCAGTAAATTCAAGACTAAGTTTACGTCCCACGTTGATGTATACCTGGGTCGTGGGGGTCTTGCAAAACGAACACCACGTAGGAGTCTGCACACCATTGTGTGTCTCCCTATCGGTGCACCTTCTAACCCGTGATGTCCAGCCGAAATCGCTGACCTATAGCCATTAATAGTCCGGTATGCTAGACCTTGCTCGAACAACCATGTCAAGAAACGTAGAATGCTGTTTAAAGGAGCACATATGGGATCCACTTGTTGTTCCATGCACCAACCACTCCAGACGCTCCATGCCCGTCTGTAGAAACTCCGAGTTCCTGGGGCCTAGGCTCCCTCCAGTAGTTCCAGTGTCGTCCGTGGAACCTCTGGTACGACCCAGGGTCCACTGAAAGGAGCCACGCTAGTAGCCTGAGTTGCCCTTGCAGCAATAACGGGTGTGAGTTCCCTTCCGGATCCGTCAAGAGATGAGGGTCCGCGGGTAGAAGTCTTGGGAGGTCTATAGACATCTCCATGAGGGAAGGGAACCATGGCTGTGTTGTCCTGAATGGTGTTATTAAAACCAAAGTCGTCCGCGTGCGGTCGAGATGGACCAGTGTTCGTGCTAGCAGAGCGAACGGTGGGAATGCATAGAGTCTTTTCCTCGGCCATGTCTGGAGGAACGCATCCGTAGCCACTGCTTCCGGGTCTGGTCTCCAGCTGAAAAACTCTGGTAGGTGCGTATTCAAACGAGACGCAAACAGATCCATGTGCATCGGGCCCCACAGCGTTTGCAATCGCAGGAATACTTCGCGATTCAGTCGCCAATCGCTGTTGTCCCGCAGGTATCTGGAATTCCAATCCGCCACCGTATTCGAGAGGCCCGGGATGTATTCGGCCAGTACTGAGATGTTGCGATCCAGGCAAAACTGCCAGAATTCCGTGGCTAAATACGCCAAAAGTTTGGATTTGGTGCCGCCCAGGTGGTTGATGTATTGCACCGCTGATACGTTGTCCATCCGTAGAACGATGAAACAATGTGTCCTGGCTCCCAGAAGACTTCTCAGTGCGAATGATCCCGCCATGAGCTCCAAGCCGTTGATATGCATCGTTCTTTCCGACTGGGACCATCTTCCGCCTGTGGAAATATGACCACAACGCGCTCCCCAGCCCTGCGTGCTGGCATCGGATTCTATTATGCAATCCGGGGCGCTGCCGAAAATCGCTTTGCCGTTCCACGCCTCCATGTGTTGCATCCACCACTCGAGTTCCGCCTTGGCCGTGTGATCTAGTTGCACGGAGTCTGAGTAAGATCGACCCGAGTGTAGATGTGTAGTTTTCAATCTCTGCAGGGCCCTGTAGTGTAGAGGTCTGGGGAAGATCGCCTAAATGGAGGCTGAGAGGAGTCCAATTATCCTGGCTAACTGTCACACCGTTAGCATCGGGCGACGTAGCGTTCTGTGGATCTCCTTTTTGATGATCTTGATCTTTTCCTGCGGTAAATTCAGTGTTCCCTGGACTGCTTCGATAGTGAACCCTAGGAATTCCATGGACTGTGAGGGAATCCGCACCGACTTCTCCCAATTGATGAGAAAACCGAGGTTGCGCAAAAGCTGTATTGCCCATGATAAGTGTTGTCGGAGTAGGCTTACCTCCTGCGCCATGATCAATATATCGTCCAAATAAATGATCATGCGCACTCCTCTGCTGCGTAGCAGCGCCACCACCGGTTTCAAGAGCTTCGTAAAGCACCACGGAGTGGAAGACAGGCCGAAAGGGAGGCACCTGAACCTCCACATCTGCTTGTTCCACTGGAACTGGAGGAGGTGGCGACATTCCTCCGCGATGGAGACGGTAAGATAGGCATCCTGGAGGTCCAATTTGACCATCCAGTCTCCCAGCCTGAGGAGGTCCCGCAGACAATGGATCCCCTCCATTTTGAAGTGGTGATAACGTACATACGCGTTGAGGGGGCGTAGGTTTATCACCGGTCTTACCCTGCCGCCCTTTTTGGGGACCAGAAATAGGTTGCTCAGGAAACCTGGAGAATGATACGCGACTCGATAAATCGCGCCCTTCTCCCTTAATGCTCTGATTACCTGTGACACGAGACCCCTGTCCCGTGGGGTAAACACCATTGGCCGAGGGGCTGCTGGTTGGACTGGGGTTTGTACAAATTCTATTTGATACCCTACAACAGTGTTGAGAACCCAGGCATCGGACGTGAGTCCGTGCCATGCCCCGATAAAATGGGATAGTCTGCCCCCTACATAGGAAGTACAATACCGGGAAGCAGGAAGGGTACTCACCATAAGGTTGTCGGCCGTATGTAGCGCCTCTGCGCCCTCTGGGCTGCCATGGCCTGCCCCTGACAGGAAAGAATAGTGAAGGGTTCCTGACCTCCGGCTGTTGAAATCTGGGTGCGGGGGAGCCTCGGTAGCCCCGATAGGAGCCCCGTGATGACCGGCTGGACAGATGGCCCCGGTGTCTGCCAGCCCCCCAAAAACCTTCGGGGCGAACACCCGCTTCAAGTTTGTTTGTGCCTTGTCCAGGGCCGTAAACGTATTAACATAATTGCCTAATTCCTTGACAAAATTATCCCCGAAGAGGAGACCCTTTGCCTGCGGCCCAGGTTCAGCAATGGCCATGTTGACCAGTTTCGGGTCAATTTTCATGAGAACCGCTTTGCGCCTTTCTGTACAAAGCGCCGCATTGGAATTGCCAATAAGACATATCGAGCGTTGTGCCCACTCTCGGATAGCCAAGAGGTCCACTGGTGTGCCACTTGAAAGCGTCTCCTCGACCATGTCGAAGATTTTTGCGCTGGGGCCTAGCGAGTCAAGTACCTTATCTTGGCAGTGGCGTAGCAAATAATCTAGCCCTTTCTTGGCTTTCCAGCCCGACTTTCCCAAAAATTGGGTAATCTTTGGGTCTAGTTCTGGTGTGGCGCACGCCATATCCGGAACTGTTGGGCGCGGGCATTCAGCCCTCAACTTATTCCTGGTGGCCTTGTCTAGGGGTTTTCTAATTCTGGCCGCTATATATTGGGCCACGTGGTCCGCCAGGAACCGTTCTATCGACCTAGGATGTTGAAGGTCGTCAGGGTTAAATAGGGGTTCCCCTTGCGGATCCAGTAACGGACTCAGCAGCTTTGTCTTGACCCTTGGTGGGTGGCCTGCCAGAGAAACTGCGCTCCGGAGAAGAGTTCTCCGATTCCAGTGAACCCATTTCTTCAGACTCACTCAATACCTCCTCTTGGTCCGAATCAGAGTCGGATATTTCTCTCCCGGCTTTCGCCCATTTCCATGACCGCACCGTTTTTGCCCGGTGGGAGGCTCTCTTACGTGGGGGCCCCACGTCCTCATCATTGACAGGACGCAACCTGTCCGTCATGTGTGTTTTGGAGGCTTGTTTGCCCATATGATGGGTCTTTGCAGTAGCCTTGCGACCGCTGATGGGAGCAGGCTTATCATCTTGGGCCTTGGAGCAGTGGTCCTTGGAGTTGTGGCCAGACGCCATGATGGCGTTACTGATGGATTGGGTCAGGTTATCTGACATCGCCCCCATCGCTGTGTAGATTGCTTGTGTGACCGATTTTGCCATGGTTGCATCTAGCAGAGAATGGAACTCTTCCGAGTTCAGTTGTTCCACTGACCCCACCTCCTCCCCTAGAGAGGAGATGGGCTGCGGAACCAGGGACCCACGAGGTGTGGCGCCCAGGCTGCCTGTAGTCACAGTGACCCGCTCCTGATCTTTGGTGTGCTGCATAATGAAATAGTACTGCTGTACCAATCTATGGCAACTGGGTTAAGCGATTTTATACTGCTGGCCCTTTAAGGTACCCCTTATGTTTTATTTGGGAGTATAATGTGGCTGTAGACGCCCACCAACCTGTCACTTTAAGCCCCAGTGAGAGTGAAACCACTATGTAGCTTCCCAATCTGAAAAGTCTGTAACTAAGCAGGGTGATAGGGCAAGGCACAAACAAGCTGTCAGCTTACCTAGTGTTCCCTCCGGAATGGCAGCAGGGGGGACACTAGCAAGCTGACAGCCTCAGCCCACACCCAATCCGAACGCTCCCGCCCTTCGGGAGGCTGGGAGTGTCGGGGTAAAAGCGCAGCAAAACCGCCGAGAAGCCGGCACTTAAAATGGCCGCCGCGCTATGCGGCCGCGAATGCGCATGCGCACGCAGACCCGAGCCGAGAATGTCCGCGCCGGTGTTCTATCAGTCTGGTATACTCCGTCAGATTGCTATACCCACGTCACTTCCGGGGAGGGGAATCAGCTGTCTCCTGTGCTGCACATGCGTGCTAGCACTCCTGCTACTCCTCCACAGCAAGGTCCTGGAAGGTAAGTAAAACTAGTTTTACACTTTCATTATAGTTAGTGCATTCACTAAGCTTAGGCACACAGGACATTTAGGGTTAAGTGAGGGTACAAATTAGGGTTAGGTAAGTGCTTCTAACCTCTCTCACACTCTATTCTTACCCTAACCCTTGGGGTAAGGGTTAAAATAAAGTGTGAGAAATCACTATTTAGTGATATTCCCCTAAAGTGAAATATCACTGAATATGAACAAGTCCCTAATCCTAACCCTAATTTGAACCCTAACATTAACCCTAAATGTCCCATGTCCTAAGCTTAGTGAATGCACTAACTATAATGAAAGTGTCAAACTAGTTTTACTTACCTTCCAGGACCTTGCTGTGGAGGAGTAGCAGGAGTGCTAGCACGCATGTGCAGCACAGGAGACAGCTGATTCCCCTCCCCGGAAGTGACGTGGGTATAGCAATCTGACGGACCAAACTGATAGAACACCGGCAACAGCCGCCGCGGAGATCAGCTGTTAACCGCCGACGCCAACGGCGCACGGGTAATAAACTACCCGACGGGGAGGGGAAGGGAGGGAGGGAGGGAAGCTGTTCATCTCCCAAACATGAAAGTAAAAGCAGGCAATAAAACGATAGTCCTGTCATTAAGGTCCCAAGGGGCAACCCTCAGGGTTCCAACCTCCCAGCACTCCCCACAAATACAGCAAACACAAATTCCACAAAGAATATACAACTTAGGAGGAAATCTCACAAACTATGAAAGAACAATCACAATAAACATTAATATCAATCTAATTATCCACATTAAGAACAGAATTTTAGAGAGCTAAAATTAGGTGATACTTAGCTGAGGCAGCAGCAAAGAAAGGGAGAGGAGAGGTCACATGGGTGGTTATGGATACAAGGACTGTTCCTATTGGTTAAGGATAACAGACTGTTAACCCTTTGAGTACTTATTCTAGTTTGGTTTCTTTAATGTTTATACATTTTTTCTTTGCTGCTGAGGTATAATAAAGAAAGAGAAAGCACAATATGAGCCTCCGTGTCCTTTAATAAAATTGTAGCTTTTCTAGTTATAATTGCAATCATATTTACATTGAAACTTTCCTAATATCTCCAACTGTGTTATCATTAACACAACATTTTAATATTTAGCATTAATATAAAATTATAAAAAAGTTGTGCAATAAAACATGTGACAGAATCTAGTCCATTTTATTTAACAAAAGAAAAACATGTTTTCAAAATCTGTGTAACTAAATAACAAGCACCATGATGTTAATTAAACAGAGGTAAGTGTGATCTTGCAAACTATCCTGCTATATATTTTTTTGTTTACATTTTCTAGAGTGTACTCCTTTATGTGGACACCATTTAAGTAAATTATTATATAAGGGTGCATAATTCATTGTTGCACTATAGAATATAGCTACAGTCAGGTCCATAAATATTGGGACATCGACACAATTCTAATCTTTTTGGCTCTATACACCACCATAATGGATTTGAAATGAAATGAACAAGATGTGCTTTAACTGCAGGTTTTCAGCTTTAATTTAAGGGTATTTACATCCAAATCAGATGAACGATGTAGGAATTACAACAGTTTGTAAATGTGCCTCCCACTTTTCAAGGGACCAAAAGTAATGGCACAGATTAACAGTCATAAATCAAACTTTCACTTTTTAATACATGATTGCAAATCCTTTGCAGTCAATTACAGCCTGAAGTCTGGAATGCATAGACATCACCAGACTAGACTAATATTAATATTAAAATACATTACGTATGACGTTACATATATATTATATGTATTATATATATAATATATATACATATATATATATATATTTATTTTATTTTAAAACATGTCTAATATTTTTTTTTTACTTTTCCACCAGCAGGGGGACTGTCTGACATTTCAGACAGTCCCCCTGCGGACAGATCCACAGCCAGCTATAGAGCGATCACATGGCCCCCGGGGGCTTCTTTTGCCATGGGAGGGCTGCTTGGGCTGTGAGGCAGTCCTCCCGAAGCGGAGTGCCGGGTAGGTAAGTATCCCGGGCGTTCCAGGGCTCAAAGCCGTTATGGCGTTCTATGTCACCGCAGCGGCTTTAAAGCCCAATTAAAGCGGGACGGCATAGAACGCTGTAACTGCATTAAGAGGTTAAGGACTGAGCCAAATGTACACGTTGTGAATAAAACAAAACGTAAGCAAAACCTGGCATTTGCGCTATATGTCTGTCCAACCGTAATTCACCTCTTTCATATTAAATGCACCCACCCTTATTATATATCATTTTATTCAGGGGAAACAAGGCTTTCATTTAATATCAAATATTTAGCTATGAAACATAATTTAATATGAAAAAAATGGGAGAAAATAAGACATTTTGTTATTTTTTTAGTTCTACATGACATTTTAACTGTCAATGTCATAATACTGAGCAGAACAAAAAAAGGTGAAAGCGCACAAACAGTGGAATATTTTACCTTTAAAATCTTATATAGGTCCTATTTTCAGCAACAGACAGTAACTGTGGACCCTATATATAATATATACAAGAAAACCACATAGTGTATACTGTTGAAACCTATTTACAATATGTGGAGAATAAAAAAGGTTCACTCACACTTTCCAGAGCCACATAAGTTAGGCTCTGGACTGTAAAGGTATTTCATCCACCGAGGGATACACTGGATCTGATCCTCCTCTTAGATGTTTGTGATAAGTTTTTCTTAGCAGGAACTCAGGAAAGGTGAGGTGTTAGAATAAACATTTATTTGGTATAATATAATAGAAGCAGAAATGGCTGACACAGCAGCTAGCACAACGCGTTTCGACCCTCCAGGGTCTTTTTCAAGTGCAGATACTGGCCCAACACCTCCAATCTCATCTCATTGATTGGACTCCAGTTGGCTGACATCTCACTCTAATTAGCTATTGGAGATGTCATTAATCTAGGGGTTCACGTACTTTTTCCACCTGCACTGTGAATGTTTACATGGTGTGTTCAATAAAAACATGGCAACATTTCATTCTTTGTGTGTTATTAGTTTAAGCAGACTGTCTATTGTGACTTGGGTGATGATCAGATCACATTTTATGACCAATTTGTGGAAAAATCCATATCATTCCAAAGGGTTCACATACTTTGTCTTGCAACTGTATATGTATAAAAAAATATAAAAAGTAATCTGCAAAGTACAAAATGTTTGTGTCATATGTCGTGCTAAAAAATTAAGCTAGGAATGTGCATATTTTTTATGCATTCGGAATGCTTTGCCAGCATTATGGATGTAAGATCATTATGCGAGATGTAGTCCACAATATCTGGAGTGCCAAAGGTTGCCTATCCCTGCCTTAGGTTGTCTTCTTTTAAAAAATATATACATGTTGTGACGAAGTGCCCTTCGCCACTTGGTCCTGGAGAGGCCTACTTGCCAGCCTCCTCCCCTGTGACTATGACTCTTTCATGTATCTGGCTTTAAAGCCCCTAGTCTACCTTCAGACAGACTATTTATGTAGGCTGCTTTATTTATCTTATGTTTTAGTCACCCTGTACCCATTATAGGTGCAGGGTGTGTGTAATGTAATTGTTTATAGTGTGTGTGTGTGTACTGTGTAATGTATTGCCTGCTCTCTTGTATTGCTGAGGTTTGCTTGCTGCCAACTAGGTGGGTTTGGCTATGGAGCTTGTCTAGTGCCCTCTGTTGGTAGCAACAGCAATATGCACTACCTGAATTGCAAGACTGGTTCATTTGCATATTCGGGTAGATTTGCATATTGCTAATTCTGCAGGCAGGTGAGATATTTACTGTTAAATATTGTCTCCCCCACCCCTTTAAAAATGTGCCATTGTGTTGTGATAAGTCACTGTGTGTTGCTTGATATGGTTTGACTGTTTGTGATTTTATTGAGGTTTCACAACAATGTTATTGTGGTGACCCTATTGGCTGGTCCCAAGGGAAATAAAGGTTTTGACAGTTCTTCTTGATCCCTCTAAACGTAGCCTTGTCTCGTTATTGGAGGGAGCTGTTATAATCACACTGGGGATTGCTATGCTCTGCATGCTCCTCTGAGCTTGAATCACTTAGCTCTTTTAAGAGCTTGTTCCTGACATGCTCTCCTTGGAGGAGGGGTCTTCACCGCACAGTCCTGGATGCTGGAGGTTCATACAGGGTGGAAGGAAGAGTTCTTTCCCACACAGTCTTGGAGGACAGAAGCTGATCCAGGGTGGAAGAAGACGGCGAGACTCCAGTCAAGATACGGCGGTTGCGGAGTCTGCGGTGGTTGTGGTGTCTGCTGCAGCGCTTGGAGTCCTCAGGAAGCACTAGGAGCATCCGTCAACGGAGGGTACTCAGTCGGAGTACAAGGAGCTCCGTTACATTGGTGGCAGCGGTGGGATGGCGTCCTAGTGCGAGGAGAAGCAGCTCGGAGACACTGGTATCGTATGAGAGGTTATTGAGGGCAACGCTAGCCACTGTGCAGCGTCCCTAACTACAGCAGCATGGAGCAGGGATGGATAGAGCCCTGCGAAGAGCACCTCAACATGATACGTCGCTACGAGGACGACGCTTACATTGAGGAGGTAAAGAGGCGGTTGGTCTGCTATGGCCCAGACCTTTCAAACGAGGTGGTCCACCAAGTAATGCGCCAGTTGAGTGCTGAGAACAGTGCGGCAATGGCCTTTGAGCGACAACTGTGGAGGTTGAGGATATGGACACCTAGTCTCCAGCGGCAGTGCAAGTTACAGGGAGCCGAAGGTGTCGTCCTTCCTCCCCAGCGGCAGTGCAAGTTACAGGGAGCCGAAGGTGTCGTCCTTCCTCCCCAGCGGCAGTGCAAGTTACAGGGAGCCGAAGGTGTCGTCCTTCCTCCCCAGCGGCAGTGCGAATTCCAGGGAGCCGAAGGTGTCGTCCTTCCTCCCCAGCAGCAGTGTGTCCTACAGGGAGCAGAGACAGTTGGTCTCTCTCTCCAGCAGCAGGACAATGTTATGGGAGTGGAGACAGGCGGTCTCCCTCTCCAGCGGCAGCCTGTGTTTCAGGGAGAGAAGCACATCACCCTATATCCCCAGCAGCAGCTTACCCTACCAAGGGGAGACACCAATCTCCCAGATGGCGCAGAGGGGACCGTGGTCTCTGTGCCCGACCTACAGGGATGCTGGACAGCCTGTCCAGATCCCCAACTACCCTCACAGGGACAACAGGAGGAGGGGGTAAGTACGAATTCCCCTCCCCAGCTAACTCCTAACTTGGCCCCAGGGTTAACAGGGGAGATGTTAACCCCCACTGACCCCCACATTCCCCTGGCTACTGAGCCGGACTATGTCCCAAGCCCCCCAGCGGAAGACCTGGCAGCTGGGCAGAGTGCAGTCGGCCTCTGCCCTCCCTTTGTCCCTTGTCCAGAGCCTGATGTCCTGCAGGCTATACCAGCAGAAGAGCTGGCATCAGGGCAGACCGCCGCTGGCCTCTGCCCTACCAATCCCCTTGTCACAGGACTGGCCTGCACCCCCCTCCTCCCAGCAGAAGCACTGGCATCAGGGCAGAGCGCCGCTGGCCTCTGCCCCTCAAGTCCCCACAGCGTGTTGCCCCATCACCCCAGAGGAATACCCAGGTGCAGTCACTGTTTGCTGTGGGTGGGCTGCTCTAATAACTGTTTGTTGTGGGTGGGCTACTCTGGCACTTGCTTATGGTCGGTGGGTGACTCGACTAACTTAGGCACTGACCGACAGAAAGTCAGGTGCCTGGTTAGTCTTCCCCCCGAAGGGGAGATATGTGACGAAGTGCCCTTCGCCACTTGGTCCTGGAGAGGCCTACTTGCCAGCCTCCTCCCCTGTGACTATGACTCTTTCATGTATCTGGCTTTAAAGCCCCTAGTCTACCTTCAGACAGACTATTTATGTAGGCTGCTTTATTTATCTTATGTTTTAGTCACCCTGTACCCATTATAGGTGCAGGGTGTGTGTAATGTAATTGTTTATAGTGTGTGTGTGTGTGTACTGTGTAATGTATTGCCTGCTCTCTTGTATTGCTGAGGTTTGCTTGCTACCAACTAGGTGGGTTTGGCTATGGAGCTTGTCTAGTGCCCTCTGTTGGTAGCAACAGCAATATGCACTACCTGAATTGCAAGACTGGTTCATTTGCATATTCGGGTAGATTTGCATATTGCTAATTCTGCAGGCAGGTGAGATATTTACTGTTAAATATTGTCTCCCCCACCCCTTTAAAAATGTGCCATTGTGTTGTGATAAGTCACTGTGTGTTGCTTGATATGGTTTGACTGTTTGTGATTTTATTGAGGTTTCACAACAATGTTATTGTGGTGACCCTATTGGCTGGTCCCAAGGGAAATAAAGGTTTTGACAGTTCTTCTTGATCCCTCTAAACGTAGCCTTGTCTCGTTATTGGAGGGAGCTGTTATAATCACACTGGGGATTGCTATGCTCTGCATGCTCCCCTGAGCTTGAATCACTTAGCTCTTTTAAGAGCTTGTTCCTGACACGCTCTCCTTGGAGGAGGGGTCTTCACCGCACAGTCCTGGATGCTGGAGGTTCATACAGGGTGGAAGGAAGAGTTCTTTCCCACACAGTCCTGGAGGACAGAAGCTGATCCAGGGTGGAAGGAAGACGGCGAGACTCCAGTCAAGATACGGCGGTTGCGGAGTCTGCGGTGGTTGTGGTGTCTGCTGCAGCGCTTGGAGTCCTCAGGAAGCACTAGGAGCATCCGTCAACGGAGGGTACTCAGTCGGAGTACAAGGAGCTCCGTTACACATGTGAAGGGTTATTCAGGGATTCCTGACATATATTAGTGTTACAATGTAACTTTCATTCATTTTGAAAAAAAAAATGGTTTGGAAATAGCTAAGTGCTATTTGTACTTATTGCCCTATAACTTGCACAAAAAGAGTTTTTTGGCAGTTGTAGATGCGTAACAGATTTTGGGGGTTAAAGTTAGAAAAAGTGTTTTTTTTTATTTTTTTCATCATATTTTATATTTTTTTTCATAGTAAATTATATATGATGAAAATAATGGTATCTTTAGAAAGACCATTTAATGGCAAGACAAACGGTATATAATATGTGTGGGTACAGTAAATGAGTAAGAGGAAAATTACAGCTTAACACAAAGCAGAAATGGAAAAACAGCCCTGGTTCTTAACGGTAAGAAAATGGAAAAACAGTCTGGTCACTAAGGGGTTAAACTTACCTAGAATCCAGCACCATACGAAGCTCCCCATGCTGGTTTCCATGCCTGTGTTGACATCACTGCTTCCCGCTCGTGGTCCAATCCAATGTTTCCCATGCACATGCGCACGCTCTGATCCAGGGAGGGAGTGAGTGAGTGAGTTGGGGTGGACACAGCGAGGTGATGGTGAAAAAACTATTTAAGATAATAGGTAGGTGAGGACAGTGGGAAACAAGTAATCAATTAATAGTGTCGCCAAGTGCTTCTGGTTTATACCAAAGCATATTGGAAAATATAATTTATTAAAAAAATAATATGTTATGGATCTATTTTGCATCAACTACCAGGACTTGACAGCACTTGCTTTTGGCCACCAAGGAATTGAACAAATAACCGCAAATATGGCGTATATAGCGTGATGGCCAATGAAAGTTGCTAATCCACTTAAAGGGCAACTCCAAACCTTTTAAACAAATTAATTTATTAACCTATTGGGCATTTTTAATTAGCTGCCCCTTTTATAAACAAGGAATTTAAACAAAAACTTACCTGAAATCCAGCACTTTGTCACGCTCTTGGTATTACTTTCCACACCTCCTTTGACGTCATTCTCCCTCACGCTGTCCAATTATATGCTCCTCAAAGATAATTTTTCATTAGACTTTTATCTCACTGGCTCTGAGCCCCTGCTGCTTTATTTCAATATTTTTCAAATGTATATAGTAAATTGCAAGAAACAGACAAAGTCAGGGAGGAAAGATCAAGCTTCCCCTTGCACTGCCTGCAAGGGAGACGATGACCAAGTTTGTTGCCAGCGCCCTGTGCTTGCTGACGACAAGACATAATTTTTGCCCAGAATTTACTTTAGGTAACCTAGAGCAGTGTTCTAGGCTGCCTATGTTATACATTCTGGGGTGCAACTAGCTTCAGGCACAAAAGTGCAAATATTGCAGACTGCAGAATTTAAAGCAGAAATGCTGTAGTTACAAATTTGCTGGTGATAGGGGCAAAGATGGCACCATAGATTAGTCTTAAAATATCCCCATTATATTAATACCCCATTGTAGCTAAGAATGAATATCTCGCTGGAATCCTCTGGAGCTGGAAGAGATGGTTAGTGAATATAGCCCATTCCCCCAGTAACTGGATGACACACAGTTCTGGGAGACAACTGATTTGTATTAGCCCACACACAGCTTTTTATGCACATCCCCATAGTATAGTCTCCAGGACAAGTTTACAGGGAATATTCCCAAGATGCAGTGGGTCTAAGAGATAATTGAGCTGGGAATTTTAGATAACTCAACTATCTCTCAGTTACATGAAATAAATAAAATATTATAAAACATGCCAAAAACATAAAATAGTACAGGCACCCCACAATTCTTATATCCCCAAATAGCTTGAATCTGAGCGCACAACATATCTGAAAAGCGCTCCGATTGGTTCGATGGAACGGGATCTCTATTCGGGAGAAGAATTCACCGGCCAGCCACGATGTGATGCCTCAGAAGAGTTCCAGAGAATCCAGTGCTGTGGCTGGTCTTGGTTCGGGAGTTCCTGCACGGACACCAACGACACTCCTCTGGCTCTCAGGTAGCAAATGCTCGCCCCAAATCGGTAGATTTTGTCTCCCGAACGTGATGTTCGGGAAAGTATACAGGCAGCAGTACCATCTTGACCAGGGTTCGCAAGAACATGTAGCCGAAATTAGTTCCACGCACACAACGACCAAGTACCGCTGCCTATGTTCGGGAGACAAAATGGCACTGAACCACATGCATTCGGATATACGAACGGCGGCAACCCAGGGAAAGCACTCAAGTAATCCTTAATTGCGGTTAACAGCCATGGGTGGTCGGTGTTCTAAGTCAATAACAGGGGGGGACCACACAAGGTCTGTCCGGTTCCCGAACAGGGGGTTACGGATCTGTTCGCAAGAACTCAATATGGGTTTGGCAACCCCAGGGACTGATGCCAGGTCCCCCACACCCATCTTACTGCCCAAGGTATAATGTATAAACTGTTGAGCAGTAGACATGTAGACTAAGCCATTGGCTATGAAAATGCAACCCGTTCTAGCATTCACTGTATAGGTAAAAGAAAATCTTTTATAAGCGCTTACAGAAGGTAGATTTTTTTTTTAATATAAAAACAAAGAACAAAACCTACTTACCTGTATCGGACTTCCTAATCTTTCTCAAGATACACTACAGTCACCCAGACCACTACATCTCATCGTAGTGGTCTGGGTGCAGCGTCAATGTCCCCTTAACGCTGCAAGTGAAAATATTGCAATTTGTTTACATTGCAGTTATAAGACTGGATGTCCTCATGCAAAGCGTAAGGACATCCAATGTCGTTTCATGGAGAGACAGTCACTAGAGGCAGTGTCTTCAAATTCACAGTATGGCAGAGGTTTAATGGATAAACTGCACTCACCACACATGCACATTAGGTTCCTCCTAAAGTCAGAAGAGTCTTCCACTGCCGAGGTCTGCCCAGGGACCTCGGCAGTGGAAGAATGTTTTTTTTAACCCTTGAATCACCGTTAATCCATTAAGTTCGTTAGGCCATGCTATGCTGTCATAAAGCAGAAACTAGGAAGGCTTAAATGTCATTAGCGCGGCATAGCACGCCGTAACGATTTAGCCCTCCCTCCAGCACATCTAGCTTCCCATGCTGCCGATCACAGTCTGGGGATCCCCCTGCATCCAATTGCAGCGATCTGCAGCACATGATGTGCATGTTACCATGTCTTAGCCAATGATTTGTTACATTTACATACAGGCATTGTCTCTACTTCTCTCTTTTCCTCACCAATAATTAAAATTACAGTGTTAAAGTGACAAGAACACTGCACCAGACCACTTCAATGAGCTGAAGTGGTCTGGGTGCCTAGAGTGTCCCTTTAATCTGAAAGAAGTAAATTATGGTTGAACACACATATAGCGCAAATTCTAGGGTTTGTTTTAGTCAGAACAGTACAATTACCTCTGTCCTTAGGGGGATTAACTTTAGAGGGTTAAATAAACACTGCATTGAGGATCTATTGTGCATGCACAGCAATCACCCACACCAGTCAGGGGAAAGCATTTACAGCCTTCAGTGGCAGAACAAGATTTTCCATAATTTTCCAGACTGCTTCAATGAGAAACTGCCCCTGGTAGCTGTCAGTGTGACAGCCAATAGAGACATGTTTGTGGCCAAAGTAAACATTCTAAAGGCAGCATGAGAGTATTTCACTCAATACAAAAAAAGATTCGTAATGCTAATATTGACTGTCCTTTTAAAGACGTACGTGGCATTTATTTATTTATTTATGGAACGTGCTAACTACACTGAATCCTCCTGCTGACAGTCCGTCACGTGACTTCACATTTCAGTCGCGCAGAAAATACGTCAACAGGATGGGTGCTCGTGCGTTCCATTGGTCAGTTGTGTCGTCGCGCTGCCAGTGACGTCACTAGGCGGCAGTATGGCGATCTGCCACTTTTTTCTGCAGGGCCGTTAGATGCCACCCGGTAGATGGCGGAGGAGGCAGGCCGGTACCAGCAGCCAGGTTTCAGCCAAAACCGGTACCAGCAGCCACCACCACCACAAGGGATCATACCACCACCCACCACCACAAGGTATAACCTCAAACCGGTACCAGCAGCCAGCTCCCCAAGGTATAACCTCAAACCGGTACCAGCAGCCAGCTCCCCAAGGTATAACCTCAAACCGGTACCAGCAGCCAGCTCCCCATGGTATAACCTCAAACCGGTACCAGCAGCCACCTCCTTAAGGAATAACCTAAAAACCATTACCAGTAGCCACCTCCCCAAGGTATAACCTCAAACCGGTACCAGCAGCCAGCTCCCCAAGGTATAACCTCAAACCGGTACCAGCAGCCAGCTCCCCAAGGTATAACCTCAAACCGGTACCAGCAGCCAGCTCCCCAAGGTATAACCTCAAACCGGTACCAGCAGCCAGCTCCCCAAGGTATAACCTCAAACCGGTACCAGCAGCCAGCTCCCCAAGGTATAACCTCAAACCGGTACCAGCAGCCAGCTCCCCAAGGTATAACCTCAAACCGGTACCAGCAGCCACCTCCCTCCCCAAGGGTATAACCTCAAACCGGTACCAGCAGCCAGCTCCCCAAGGTATAACCTCAAACCGGTACCAGCAGCCAGCTCCCCAAGGTATAACCTCAAACCGGTACCAGCAGCCAGCTCCCCAAGGTATAACCCTTAAACCGGTACCAGCAGCCAGCTCCCCATGGTATAACCCTTAAACCGGTACCAGTAGCCAGCTCCCCAAGGTATAACCCTTAAACCGGTACAAGCAGCCAATATCGGATTTCAACACTTTAGTTAAAGAAACACTATAGCGTTAGGAACACAAACATGTACTCCTGACACTATAGTGGTAAAATAACTGTTTATGTTCCCAGCCCACCTCCCGTTGCAGTAAAAAGGTGATTTTACTCACCTTTTCTCCCAAGCCACGCCGGTCTCTCCATAGCTGGTTCTGTCTTCGTGAATGAGATCATCAAACTTGATGATTTCTGCCAATCCAATGCTTTCCCATAGAAAAGCAATGTAAGACTATTGCACATGCACAACAAAATGCAGCTCTGAGCCAATCTGCATCTTCCAAACCGGTACCAGCAGCCAGCTCCCCAAGGTATAACCTCAAACCGGTACCAGCAGCCACCTCCCCAAGGTATAACCTCAAACCGGTACCAGCAGCCAGCTCCCCAAGGTATAACCTCAAACCGGTACCAGCAGCCAGCTCCCCAAGGTATAACCTCAAACCGGTACCAGCAGCCAGCTCCCCAAGGTATAACCCTTAAACCGGTACCAGCAGCCAGCTCCCCAAGGTATAACCCTTAAACCGGTACCAGCAGCCAGCTCCCCAAGGTATAACCTCAAACCGGTACCAGCAGCCACCTCCCCAAGGTATAACCTCAAACCGGTACCAGCAGCCAGCTCCCCTCAAGGTATAACCTCAAACCGCACCAGCAGCCAGCCCCCATGGTATAACCTCAAACCGTACCAGCAGCAGCTGGGGCTGCCCCTGCTGTATAACCCTCCTCAAAACCGGGTACCAGCAGCCAGCTCCCCATGGTATAACCTCAAACCGTACCAGCGCCAGCTCCCTCAAGGTATAACCTCCTCAAACCGTACCAGCAGCCAGCTCCCCAAGGTATAACTCTCAAACCGTACCAGCAGCCAGCTCCCCAAGGTATAACCTCAAACCGTACCAGCAGCCAGCTCCCCAAGGTATAACCTCAAACCGTACCAGCAGCCAGCTCCCTAAGGTATAACCTCAAACCGTACCAGCAGCCAGCTCCCAAGGTATAACTCAAACCGTACCAAAGCAGCCAGCTCCCTACAAGGTATAACCTCAAACCGGTACCAGCAGCCAGCTCCCCAAGGTATAACCTCAAACCGGTACCAGCAGCCAGCTCCCCAAGGTATAACCTCAAACCGGTACCAGCAGCCAGTTCCCCATGGTATAACCTCAAACCGGTACCAGCAGCCAGCTCCCCATGGTATAACCTCAAACCGGTACCAGCAGCCACCTCCTTAAGGAATAACCTAAAAACCATTACCAGTAGCCACCTCCCCAAGGTATAACCTCAAACCGGTACCAGCAGCCAGCTCCCCAAGGTATAACCTCAAACCGGTACCAGCAGCCACCTCCCCAAGGTATAACCTCAAACCGGTACCAGCAGCCACCTCCCCAAGGTATAACCTCAAACCGGTACCAGCAGCCAGCTCCCCAAGGTATAACCCTTAAACCGGTACCAGCAGCCAGCTCCCCATGGTATAACCCTTAAACCGGTACCAGTAGCCAGCTCCCCAAGGTATAACCCTTAAACCGGTACAAGCAGCCAATATCGGATTTCAACACTTTAGTTAAAGAAACACTATAGCGTTAGGAACACAAACATGTACTCCTGACACTATAGTGGTAAAATAACTGTTTATGTTCCCAGCCCACCTCCCGTTGCAGTAAAAAGGTGATTTTACTCACCTTTTCTCCCAAGCCACGCCGGTCTCTCCATAGCTGGTTCTGTCTTCGTGAATGAGATCATCAAACTTGATGATTTCTGCCAATCCAATGCTTTCCCATAGAAAAGCAATGTAAGACTATTGCACATGCACAACAAAATGCAGCTCTGAGCCAATCTGCATCTTCCAATTTAATGCATCTCTTGACTGCGACTAGAGGAACAAGGCAGTAATGTGAACACTGCTTTCTCTCTGCAAAGGCAGTGATTACATTAGAAAAACCTCCTTGGACATGCTATAGACACCAGAAACACTACATGAAACTGTAATTGTTCTGGTGACCTATAGTGTCCCTTTCACATTATTTTAACTAGTGTATTGTGTGATGTTGTACCCAATGTTTGTTTTAACTACTTGGCATAAAAATGATACTAATAGGCTAGTTTAAAAAAATAAAAAAAATAAAATATATATATATATATATATATATATATAAAAAACTCCTGACATTATAGCCTATTGTTTTGAAAAGTGATCTTGACTTTTCCTGTGACAATTGTTTTGAAAAGGCTCTTGCATAAAAATTTTATTTTTCATTGTTTTATACTGTAGTTTCTGATTTGATGTTTGTTAGTTAAATAAATCACATTAATGTTTGAAATCCCCTAAAAAAAAATATTAAATAACTCTATTTGACATTTTAACTTTCCTTAAATCTTGTGGATCTTACACCCATGTAATCTTCTCCATGCCTCATATTGTTGTTTCTTGCACACCAACATTCTAATGATTCCTTTAGGTGGCTCTCGACACTGGAATGCTCCATCTCAGCAACATCCTGCTGCTAGCTTTTCCAAATCCACAACTTGGACAAATAAACCCCGTGATGAAAGTTTTAAACCTACCGGAGCTGCAGGATTTAGTGGCTCGCAGAATCGCTTTGCTGCCTTATCTGCTCAGGATAATTCAAGAGATGCTCAGAAGGACAAAGATGGAAACCTCATGTAAGCCAAATAGATATATATTTTTATTATTTATTTTTATTTCTCGAATGAGACAAACAGTAGTTTCTCATGAAATAAATTGTCTTCTTATTTAATGTTGATGGAAAAGTGAGAAGTATCGGTGTAGCGCTCTATACTAGTGGATGTGGAAAAAAAAAATGAATAAAGTAAAACCTTGCTATACCTTGATGGATTATATATACTTATAGATAGTCCCAGAGTAGTCAGGTTTACCTTAAATGCAAAACACAAATATACAGAACATAGTGTAACCTGTATACAAAACGTAAATGGAAATAAAGTGTATAGGTAACTCACTCACACTTTTCTGAGCTAATGTACTAGCTCAGGTATGTGCGCCTTAGGGTCCGTAGAGGCGACCCTTCCCCTCCTTTTCGTCCAAATAGTCTCCAGGTGTATTGTCCTAGGTAATAGGTATAGGAGGAGAAAATAGCGTAGTACAGTCTGGTGTATAAAGGGTATATTTAATAAATAATACCAATATACTCACAAACCCTGAGCCAATATATCGGCTCGCTTCATAAGATGTGTGTGGTTAAGGACCACATTCCTTCTTTGTAATAGCAGGTAGGAATAAAAGCCGTAAGTGTGATAAAAATATATATATATAATTTATTGTATAAAAAGTATAACATAAATATAAAAAATACACTATATCAATAAATCAACACTTGTGGCTATAGTCCAAAAGACAGTATAGTCTGTTCGAGCAGACTATACTGTCTTTTGGACTATAGCCACAAGTGTTGATTTATTGATATAGTGTATTTTTTATATTTATGTTATACTTTTTATACAATAAATTATATATATATATTTTTATCACACTTACGGCTTTTATTCCTACCTGCTATTACAAAGAAGGAATGTGGTCCTTAACCACACACATCTTATGAAGCGAGCCGATATATTGGCTCAGGGTTTGTGAGTATATTGGTATTATTTATTAAATATACCCTTTATACACCAGACTGTACTACGCTATTTTCTCCTCCTATACCTATTACCTAGGACAATACACCTGGAGACTATTTGGACGAAAAGGAGGGGAAGGGTCGCCTCTACGGACCCTAAGGCGCACATACCTGAGCTAGTACATTAGCTCAGAAAAGTGTGAGTGAGTTACCTATACACTTTATTTCCATTTACGTTTTGTATACAGGTTACACTATGTTCTGTATATTTGTGTTTTGCATTTAAGGTAAACCTGACTACTCTGGGACTATCTATAAGTATATATAATCCATCAAGGTATAGCAAGGTTTTCCTTTATTCATTTTTTTTCCACATCCACTAGTATAGAGCGCTACACCGATACTTCTCACTTTTCCACCATTTTCCTATAGAAAGATAAGCACGGTGGTATAGCAGCTCATATTAAATCTGTCGGGTATAATTCTAATCTAAAACTTTATATAGAAGCGCTTGTACTCCCCATTTGTATTTATTTAATGTTGAGTTTAGAGTACCATAAAAGGAGACTCTCATTCGGGCACATTCCATTAAAAATTGTGAGGCAGTGTCTAACTGTGTCTCTTATTATTTTTTTTTTATTTATTTTTTTTACACTGATCTCCCAATTAGCACCTCCCAGTTGAACGTTCCTTTTTTTCGTGGCTGCAAACAAAAGAAGGAAAAGGTGCTGAATTTCTTAACAGCCATTCATTATTTTGATATTTTTGCACTCTGTATCAGTACTGCTTAAACTACTATCAAATAACTGATTACCACTAGTTGTTAATAATTTTGTAAATGGTTGTTTTTTTTTTTTTTCTTTTTGTTTTTTTTTTCCGAACAGAGATGAACTGATAAAGGACATTCAGATTTGGGAATCATCCAAACAATGGCCATTCTCAGTCTATTCTGTGTCAAAGGAAAAGTGCAATATTTCAGGTAATTCAAATCCACTATTTCCTTGTAAATATAATCGGTTTGTGCAGCAACTTGTTTTTTTGTTTGTTTTTTTTCATTAATTGTTACTGATCTTTAGAGAAGACATACAATATATGACATTTGGGAAATGCAAGTTCCAAAATAGTAGTATATTGTAAGATGTTAAAAACCTCACTTTTGTTATAGTATTGCCATGAAAAATCAGTGCCACATAGTCGAGAATAATCCACCACATGAGTACACGACAAAAAGAAAACATTCTTTATAAACATAAAAGACAAAAATCAACAAAGCTATAGTGGCATCATAACACTTGAGATGATCTTGGACTCGGGGAGCTCTGATTGTCAGTTAATGCCAGACACAGGAAGATGTTTTTAAAGTGTTGGAAAAATGGTAGACTCCACTGAGACCAACATAATGGGCACACCTGCGCTCCCCAGCCCAAGGCATTTTTAAAACCACTGCTTCTTGTCCACTGACTTCAACATGCCTGGTGCCTAAGTCAAAAACTTGAGATAGTCCCAAAGAAACAAGAGCCTCCTGAGGTTGGACAGTGTTTGGGGCTAGTGCTCCCTTTGGTTTCTTCCCCGTGAAGATAAGCGGGTATGGGCCTCATCCAGAGTTGGCTTGACTGCAGATACGGTAGATTGGAGCACCGAATTGTTCAGTATTTGTCCAAATCTATTACATATATCTTCAAAGGCCTCTTTAAAAGGTAATCTGCAATGCTGTCAAATAGATGCCCATTTTAGGTTGCTCAGATAGATGATCTGCTGTAGCATGCAAATTGTCCAGAAGTAGGGTAGATGCACTGGTTGGGACTGGGATAAACCCCTACCTGTCAAAAGTGGGGAGTAGGGTTAAGGCATTTAGTGGAGGGTAGCTGTGTACAGTCCATCTGTCACTCTGTTGCAATCTAGGCCGCACCACCAGGAACTCCAAAGTTTCAGTGAATTGCCCCGTAGAAACCAGATTATAGTTTCTCAGAGTTCAGCGCTCTTTCCATTTAAAACAAATTTGAGTTCATAAGACTATAATACAGCCTGCTGTAGTGCTTTTGATGTGACGAGTACCCTGGCACCCTTCCCCCTGTAATGGTGCAAGACATTTAATATCTTACCTGGGTCACACTGGTCACCAGGTATCCTCTGCAGCTAGCTTACAATATCCAAATTCTCCAAAAGCCAGATGCTGATCCTGCCACTCTGGTATTTAATGGAGAGTGTCAGCTGTTCGCTCCCAGCCAATTAATGCCCCTCTGTGCACAGAAATATGCACATAATTGACATTGGCATGGCAGAATTCTTGTTCTGCTGGATCACCCTGTTCAGGTTACCTCTCCCCTGTAAGGATGCAGCAAGATATCTTCCAACTGCACATGTGTAAATCTATCTGGCATGCCCAATGCACTTTTCGCTAGGAATTGGACACTGATTGGTTAGATCAGTGTCCCACCTGGAGTGGATGAGGAAAGCATAAGCAGGAAGAAGCAGGTACAAAATGATAAATTAAAATCCTATTTACCTGTTTTTTTCGGCATGCAGAGTGGGGCAACTGTGTCTTTCAAAGCCAAAACTTTTGAATGAGAGAATTGTCTCAAAATGATCCATGTCCCTTTAAGATGTGCTTAGAGTGTGTCTCTTTAATTTGCTTAATATTGTTTTACTGTTCAGCATTTCCACTAGGTGATGCTATTGCCATATGGAATTTCAGTTTAGTTTCAATAAATTTTTTTCACACCAGCACAAAAGTGCAGTTAGTAAATTCTCTCACAAGAGAGAGTACTATTGTTTATTTTATATCATGATCTTGAAATTGGTTTCACTGCATCTGTGGAGCCAACTGTACTCCCCTGAAATCATAGCCCATAAACTTGTGGTAAATTTTCCATACTCAAAGTTGCCTAATATTTGCTTCTGTTTCCACCATTGTAGACGGATGCTGATGCATACAATGAAAATTCTGACGAAAAAAAAAAGGGTTACTGCACTTGATCATTTAAAAAACACAGGGTGCTAATTGAGTATGGGTCAGCATATCCCATAAGAACAAGTATAAAAGAAAACATCTCAGACACTCACTATGATAAATCAAACAGATTTATTGGACACCGTCTGCTTAGTTTATTATTTATATAGTGCCAGCAAATTCCGTAGCGCTGTACAGTGGGTGGACTAACAGACACGTAATTGTAACCAGACAAATGGACGCAGATGAAAACCTGCTAACAGTTTAAATGATATGCTTTCTTGAAAAAGTGAGTTTTCAATAATAGATTTTCACCCAGTCTCCACTCCTTCAAAAATAACGGTGTAGGGAAGCGATTTCCACAGAAAAGGTGAAGCCCTGGAGAAGTCTCACATGCAAATTCTGATAGCATCCCTTGCTGCCTAGTGTGTGGTAGTATGTTTGGAATTTCTGGTACTAATTATCATTAGTAAATGGGAGTGTTTATCACTTTCACCAACCATATTTGTATTAATACAGATAGCATCGTAATAAAGCATAAACACAAATTAGAGCATTAAAATGTGGTCTACGTTTATGCTAGATCGTACCTATAATGTACATGGTAGGGACACTTTGAAATAACAGTAACTAGTTATAATGTTCATGTGATAAATGTAAAGGTTTCTTTCAGGTGATGTGTCAACTGTTAATGTTCTGGAACTCCTAACATGCGAACTAATTCAGTAACCCTTTTTTTTTTTTTTTTTTATGATCTTACTTTTTCAGGCTTTACAGATATCTCACCAGAAGAGCTTCGCTTAGAATACATTGCGTCTCAGGCCAGTGGGAATCTACAGAATTATGTATGTATGTTTGGTCAAATGTTTGGAACATAGTATATCTCTGACCTAGTTAAAGGACCACTATAGTGCCAGGAAAACATACTCGTTTTCTTGGCACTATAGTGCCCTGAGGGTGCCCCCACCCTCAGGGTCCCCCTCCTGCCGAGCTCTAGGGGGAGGAAGGGGTTAAACTTACCTCTTTCTCCAGCGCCGGGCGGGGAGCTTTCTGCCTCCTCTTTGGCTGAATGCGCATGCGCGACAGGAACCCCGCGCGCGCGTTCTGCCAGTCCAATGCTTTCCTATGGACACTGGCATCTTCTCACTGTGAGAAGCGCGGAAGCCCTCTAGCGGCTTTCAATGAGACAGCCACTAGAGGCTAGATTAACCCATTTATAAACATAGCAGTTTCTCTGAAACTGCTATGTTTATAGAAAAAAGGGTTAAACCTAGCTGGACCAGGCACCCAGACCACCTCATCAAGCTGAAGTGGTCTGGGTGCCTATACTGTTCCTTTTAATAGTTTTCTGAATCTAATTCTCCATTATTAACCCTTTGCAAAACTGTCAAAGCACTAATGACAAACATTGGCTTACCAGTTTATACAGAAGGGATCATTCTTTGATTCCCTGTTTACCAGCGGACTCCCACACAATCCGTTGACTCTGGTTCTTATCCCTGCTTTAAAAATCCTGCTCATGTAATGTCAGAGGGGCTGTGTAGATTGTGTTGCTAATAACAATCAACAGTTATACACAGCCACTTCACAGAAATGTTCTGTACATCCAAAGGGCAAGAAATAATCAAATAAAGCATCATGCAAAGATGTGCCATTTATAGTGTGGAGATGTAGGCACTGACCCTGTGTCTCCACAATCATAAACAAAAGAAAGAAATAAAGCATTGAGAAGTTCTAAAGTAAGTGAATGGTCAGCCTCTCTTGGCTTCTTTTCACTCTTCTCATTTCCATATTATGGAAAGTAAAGCAATAAGCTGATCAGTGCACATCCTGTACAAATCCATACATAATTAGCTGCCTTTAAATCCTTTAAATTGCTGCTCTACATATGCAATAAGGCCCTGGTTCTCTGTTTTAGGGAATATTTTATTGTTGGGCTCAAGAAATGGAAATGTGCAGCAAATAATAGATTCAGAGTTTGATTTTTGCATTTAAAATAAAATAAAAATTTCAGTAACGTTTTCTACACCATATGACACCCTAAATTTTGAACAGGTGGGGTGAAGCTGTATAAGGTTATGTTTTACTTATTCCTGTGAATATTTTTTTTAAAGCATTTTTTTCTTTTATAGATGAATTCAGTCCAGCAGATGGTGAACAATTGGAAACAAAAAATGAATGAACTAATGAATCTAAACGCATCATCTAAAGTTGCACTGGTATGACCAGAATCTCCAATAATCAATCCGTTTTTGTACCCTCAGTTTATCTTTCTCACTCTGTACAAGACTCAATCAGGTACGCTTGAGAAAAATGTTGCGGATTTTAATTTTTTGTTTTGAAAACTCTGTTTCAGCTTAATGAACTGAACAATACATCTACCTACACAATACCTGCCTCTGGAGGGTCACAGCAGCCGGGCTTTGGAGGGTCACAGCAGCCGGGCTTTGGAGGGTCACAGCAGCCGGCCTTTGGAGGGTCACAGCAGCCGGCCTTTGGAGGGTCACAGCAGCCGGCCTTTGGAGGGTCACAGCAGCCGGCCTTTGGAGGGTCACAGCAGCCGGCCTTTGGAGGGGCGCAGCAGCCGGCCTTTGGAGGGGCGCAGCAGCCGGCCTCTGCGTCACTGGGTAAGCTCATCTTATGACTATTGTAAAAATAGTGATAAAACAGAGCAGTCTTGATGTTCAGATTTGTTATGTAGCATGAATTTGAAATTCATCAATCCTTGTATGTCATGCACGTCTTCCAGCATGTATGTTGAGTATAAGCCTTTGTATGCAAAACTGCAGAATCACAATCAAAGTGACCTGTGCAGATCTCAAATCCTAAACTTTGAGCTGACCGTGGCCATGTACATGCATCCTAAGATATGTGATACAATCCAATTAGCAAGTATAATTTAAAAAAAGTATTTTTACCCCTTGTTCTTTACTCATTGGAAAATATACTGTTGAAAAAAGAAACTTTATTGATATTTAAAGGGACTCTCCAGGCAAGAAATTTTACTCACCTGGTTCCAGCGCCGGGAGCCTCGTGAAGCCGCGCCCCATATTTCGTCAAAATGATGAAATAGGCGGGCGCGAGCAGGGAGCAATCAGACGCTTCCATTTGGAAGCGTCATTGCTCCCTTGTGCGCATGCGCGGCTTCGCTACACATGCGCACATACTTCAGAGGCCGGCATTCATGCCGCCCTCTGAAGTCCTTAGCGCACTACCGCACATGCGCGCGGCTTCGAGCTGAGCTGACTGACAGCTCAGCTCGCGGTCTTTGCCTGCCCCCTCTCCTCTGCTGACAGGCAGGAGAGAGAAGGCGCGCACACAGTACCTTCTCTTTCCTGCACATGTCAGACGTATTTTAATACGCCTGACGTGTACAAGGCCTTTTTAGGACCCTGCATGATAGGAAGTCCTTCTAGTAGCCGTCTGAGTGACGGCCACTGGAGGTATTCCTATCAATCAATGTAAACACTGTATATTTTCTCTGAAAATACATTGTTTACATTAGATTGCCTGCAGGAGCTATAAATCATACCTGAACAACTACATTAAGCTGTAGTAGTTCAGGTGACTATAGTGTCCCTTTTAACTTTGAATCTAGCAGTTACTAAAATGGGAAGTGATATATTTTGGCTAATCCTATTTCTACCCAGACTGCAGAAGTTTGTCACATGTTAGGTATTCTGTACATTTTGTAAATAAATATCAAATGATTGTGACTTCTGTAGTGTAATAAAATGGAGGCTGGAAAGACTATGCATGCATGATTGTTGCATGAAAACATGTACAGGTTTGTGAAATTAATACCAGCATATCCGCAGAGCACTTTTATCATAGTGAGAAAGCAAGTCAACACTACATACCATCTGTAAATTGTGTTAGCAGGACTGCAAACCAATATATACAAATAAAACAAAAATTGTTTCCTTAGAGGGACTTTACAATTTTTAAAATGTGATTAACTCCAGCTAACTGTGTAATTGATTTTGCAATTAAGGTTGCATTCTTACGCATTATAAGATTGTGAAGCTGAAAATGTAGAGTAGAACAAAAGTGAAAGACTGGAAGCATAGGAAATGCACTCGTAAAGGGGTTAGCCCTAGAGTAACTACAGAAGTAGTAGAAGGAAAAAAGAGAGAAAATGAGTGCCCTAGAACAATTAATATATAACCTTTAATAATATAGTTAAAAACTGTGAATAGATATAGGTAAAAGTGCTATGTAACAACAGATACCTATAAATCTGGCAACAGTGTCACGCTATTAGTAACAAGTATCACTATAGGGAGACTGTAACAACTACCACTAGATCTATAACTGGAAGTATGTCTGCTAAATAGTTAAGCCTCAAAGTTGCTAGGATAAATCTCAACCTAATAGTTGTAAGTAAGGAGGTCCTGTTCAAAAGTTTTCAGTATCCTCCATTTTATACTAAATGCAAAATGCAATTTTGCTCTGGCACTATACAAGCATATATATGTACAAATGTATGTATGTTGTTACAGTCTCCCTATATTGACACTTGTTACAGTCTCCCTATATTGACACTTGTTACAGTCTCCCTAAATTGACACTTGTTACAGTCTCCCTAAATTGACACTTGTTACAGTCTCCCTATATTGACACTTGTTACTAATAGCTTGACACTGTTGCCAGATTTATAGGTATCTGTTGTGACATAGCACTTTTACCTATATCTATTCACAGTTTTTAACTATATTATCAAAGGTTATATATTAATTGAAAATGTAGAGTATGTGCAAGGAAAAGTCAATTGAAACAGAAAAAAAATACTGTGCTGATAAATGCACAGGTGCCTTGCTATTGGTAGTCCTTGTATCTCAACTTTGTACTCATTACAGTGCTCAGTAGAGCATAATACTACAGTGCATACAATGGACAAATAGAACATTCCACTTTTTTCTTTGGTTCTTTACATCTCAATGTGCTAATGCATAACATCATAACCTAACAAATATCTTCATGTGTCCATCATCTAGCAGGTCTCGTCTAAAATACTTTATCAGTGTAACATTTCCATTGTTCATACACATAGTGTTTATGCACAACTTGATACTACATGATAAATGAAAGAAATGAGAGCAGTTGTGGATATATATATATATATATATATATATATATATATATATATATATATATATATATATTTTTATATATTTTCTTCAGGATGCACTCACAGGACTTGGTGAAAAAATCTATTCTGATTTATTTAAATCATGTGCATAACGCAAAACAAACCAACCAACGTTTCGACCCCTGCGGGTCTTTTTCAAGGTTATTGTCCCGGTCAAAACATTGAAAATATGTACCCATACAATATTAGTGCACTTACCAATCCAATTCAGAGAGAGACCCTCAGCCTGACACCGGAACCCGGATGTGAGTACGGACCGCCTCCTGACGTCATCATGTGATGACGTGCGGCCAGAGACAAAGTGATCACCATGGAAACCACCTATGCTTCTATACAGGATCGCAGAAAAATGTGATCAAGAATAGTGATGAGAGGGCAACAAGATGGAAGATCTGTTCTGAGCAAAGATCTAATTAACCCCTTAAGGACCAAACTTCTGGAATAAAAGGGAATTATGACATGTCATACATGTCATGTGTCCTTAAGGGGTTAAGAGTCAAAATATGAAAAATACAACCATGTGCTTAAGAGCCACCTCTAAATGAAGTGCATACATGTGTTAAAGTGAAAGAAAAGTGTAGATAAACGAGTGAATAGAGGGTGACACATTAGTACAGGGAAAATATAGCAATGTCTATCAATCTTAATATAATACTCAATATACATTTTTTAGTAAATAACATCATACTAAATACATAACTTTCCTTAATAATCGAAAGCAGAAATCTATGGTCAGCATATGAACGCCATGTACCCACCCAAATTTTATTTATATTTATATTATATATATATATATATATATATATATATATATATATATATATATATATATATATATATATATATTTCTTTTTAAATATAATGTTCCTTACTAAAATGTACCACCAGCTTTTGCTTGAGCCTCTGCTTGGTTCCTATGGAGTTTCAATGCACTCAGAAGGTTGAACATGACTTTCTTTTTCTGGCATCCATATATATTAACATAACTGGTCTAATTTCCAATTGTTTCTAAACTCGTTTGAGGAAGCATATATTCTGAAATTTATATTATGATAAATTAAGCTTAACCACCAGTAGATTATTCTTCTGTCCTCAGTAGACCCATTTGAAGGAAATTTGTCAATAGTTTTATTAAGAGAAAATTTAAAAAAGATGGGACTGCTAGGCAAGGAAGCAGCCATCTATAGGAACTGGCCAAGAGTCCTACAGTCCTTTAAAATGTTCAGGGCAGGTGAAGGGAGATTATACAATTTACAGCTACCCAGCATTTATTACTTTCTGTGTAAACCTTTTATGTCAAATAAGGAGAGGGGTGTAAAGGAAGAGCATAGCATTAATCTGCCACTGCCAACTACTACTTGAGCAATTATAATGTAAGCCTATGAATTGAAGGTACACCAACATAATGTAATAACAGTTGTTTAAAGTTGACTGCTGAAATCCAATATTTTCATAAAATGTTATGTAGACGATATTGAGCAGTGACACTGCAGGGAAATGATCTATACACCCAAACGGCTTCAATAAGCTAAAGTTGTTTTGGTGACTATAGTTTCCCTTTAATGAGCTGGCAGAGGTATAGGCTGAAATTTCTGGGATTGATTCAAAGTAAAAGGTAGAACTGTTCCAGTTGCCAGAAGTCTTTAAAATACAAAATTCTGCATTAAAGGGACACTATAGTCACCTGAACAACTTTAGCTTAATGAAGCAGTTTTGGTGTATAGAACATGCCCCTGCAGCCTAACTGCTCAATCCTCTGCCATTTAGGAGTTAAATCCCTTTGTTTATGAACCCTAGTCACACCTCCCTGCATGTGACTTGCACAGCCTTCCATAAACACTTCCTGTAAAGAGAGCCCTATTTAGGCTTTCTTTATTGCAAGTTCTGTTTAATTAAGATTTTCTTATCCCCTGCTATGTTAATAGCTCGCTAGTCCCTACAAGAGCCTCCTGTATGTGATTCAAGTTCAATTTAGAGATTGAGATACAATTATTTAAGGTAAATTGCATCTGTTTGAAAGTGAAACCAGTTTTTTTTTCATGCAGGCTCTGTCAGTCATAGCCAGGGGAGGTGTGGCTAGGGCTGCATAAACAGAAACAAAGGGATTTAACTCCTAAATGACAGTGAATTGAGCAGTGAAATTGCAGAGGAATGATCTATACACTAAAACTGCTTTATTTAGCTAAAGTAATTTAGGTGACTATAGTGTTTCTTTAAATAATGTTCATTGGAATCATGCAAAGAGTTCACAATATCATACCTTTGGAGGAGCGAGTTTACCCAAGCTCATAACACATGGGAGTGAACATTGACTAATTCACTATTGTAGTAGTGCGAGAGTCACCTTTTACTGAAAATACATGCAATGGAAGTGTGGGTCAAAATATAAAAGTATAGAGTTACAGTATATGCTGTCGCATGTTGCTGAGCGCTTTATTTCTCCATCACGATATGAATTATCCATGCATGCAACAAATGTAAAGCATTGTAATTATGTTTACTGGATGTTATGAATTTCTCATGCTGCTTTGGATTTCCTTAGGCTGTTTTATGAACCTGTAGCTACCCCATGTGGACACACTTTCTGCCTCAAATGCCTTGAGCGATGCTTGGATCACAATCCACATTGTCCTCTCTGCAAAGAAAACCTGTCACAGGTGAGCTGACATACCACAGACAGATCAATTGAAAACATGCAGCGAACATAAAAACAGGAAAATGTGCCGCCTGTTCTTGTTATATAGCATAGTTACTACTTAGGTAGCACTTAACTTGTTTGAATATCAACCCCCATGTTTTCCAGCTACACAGGTAGTAAATTAGTATCCCATGATCATTTAAATATTATATTCATAGACTTCAGCAGCAATCTTGTAAATGGAAAGAGGTGGATACAGTTAGGATGCTCATTTCAGAGAACCGAAGCAAATGCTAACAAAAAATATCTGTGTTGGATCTCTGCTCTCAGTGGTCAGTGTTATAAACTGCTGTTGGTTCAGGCAAGCAAAATTCAGAACAGGTCACGTGAGAATCAGAAAGCTCAGGACACGAGGTTAACAGCCCATAGAGCTTTCACCTGCAGTTTACTACTTGGAAGGTCATGTAGCTGCTTTGACTTTGAGAAACCTCTGAGAACCTTGCTGTTTATTAGTCTCAGGTGTGACTGTCACTAGGCGACAGGTGAGCCTGCAGACAGACTTGTAACCTGATCCTCTGTGCAGACTGTGCTTATGCTGAACGTGCTATTTCTAGTCTGTCTGCTAGTACTTTAAATGCTGACACTATGGGTCGCTGTGGAACAGACAGGATCTACAATCCAAAATTAACACACTTGCATTAATACAAGGTGACAACATTTAGCTATTACTGCCCTGCTTACCAATAATCTAAAAATATTTAACTCTGATCCATTTTTCTGGTTCCTATTCAAAGGGCAACTGATGCTCTAAAAAATTGAGGTTTTTTTTAATATAAAACATTTTGAAAGTTAATAGCTTTTGTTTTGTGTTTTTTTATATATGAAGTATATGTAAATATAAATGAGAAAAAAAAAATCTTTTTGTATATGACAGGATCATTCTTCCATATACATGCACCATGGATGTTTGAAAATGTAACGTTTCTATAGTCTTTCTGCTTCCGTGCAGCAGGGAAGATTTTGGAGACTGGCTGTCATTTTTCAAACCCTGTCTGACCTAAGGTGTATGTATATGGCTGAAGGATCTTGTCATGAACTAAAGATAGGGGTGAGTTTTCTGTTGCTTTTGTTGTTGTTGTGTTCTAAAACACATAAAAAAAGTAGGAAAGGGATATCAAATTAGGTAGATTTAGGATTAGTTTATCCTAGAGTTTGTCTACAAGAGGGGAAGGGTGGTATGAGTAAAATGACACAAGTTTGGAAAGGTAGGTGACGAATGAAGGGGGTTGTGGAGAGAGACTCCTGTACAGAAAGGGGCTATTTACAAAGTGACCTAAAAGGTATTGACAGACGGGCATAAATTGGGGAGAGGAAGGGGAGGTTGATGGACACAAGGAGGAGAGGGTAGAAGGGCACCAGTGAGGGATTTGGGCTATGGACAGAGGGATGCAAGATGAGTAATCTGTCTCTAGACAGAGGGACTCTGATAAAATTGAGTCAGTACAAAGAGACACAAGTAAGGGAGAGAGGTGTATGGGCAGAGGGGCACAAGTGGGAGGAGGAGGCTGTGGAAAAAGTGAGGAAGGTGTGGTATAAGCTGAGGGACACAAGTGAGGAAAGGGTGAGATATGCAAAGAGAGACTAATGTGGAAAGCTGGTGTATGGACAAAGGGAGACAAGTGAGGAGATGGAAAGAAAAATGAATTGTGTGGTATGGAGAGCTATACATAGGGGTAGATGTCAAGGAGCGCATCAGTGAGTGGGGGGGTAAACTGCACACATTTACATACACACACGCACATTCTCAATACTAACATTCCACAGCCATCACACACAGGCACTCCTCATAAATACACGTCTGCATTCAATCATGGGCATTCTGCACCCACTGGGCTGAAGGGGTTAAAACCCATTCAGCCACTTAACCTTACTTTATTGCTGGGCTCCCTTGGCGCTGGTGACCTCTCCTCCTCCTGCCGACGAAAGCTCCGAATGCACATGCGCGGCCAGAGCCGCATGCGCATTCAAACCGGCCATAGGAAAGCATTATTTTCACACTGAGAATCATGAAAGCGGCCTCTAATGGCTCTCAAGGAGACAGCCACTAGAGGCTGGATTAACCCTCAATGAAAACATAGCAGTTTCTCTGAAATGGTCTGGGTGTCTATTGTAATACATATATATATATATATACACACACATTTTAGTAGTGTGTAGGACAAAATAGGTTAATATTTAAACATATGCTTATAAATAAATAATTTATTTATTGCTTTTAAAAGGCAATCCCTTAATAATATATTTTTATTTTGTTTAGTATCTGGCAAGCCGAGCTTATAAAAAAACACATCTCACTGAAGAATTGATAACACGGTATCTGCCAGAGGACCTTACTGAAAGAAAGAAATTGCATGACGAAGAAATTCAGGAGTTATCAAAGTAAGATATTATTAAATGGTCAAACAAAGCTTTTCCTCTATTTTACAGCAGCATGTTCAGTTTCATAATATTGTCCTTGTCCATTTATATAATGTGTTTTGGATCTCAAAATGGAAGAGATCATCTGATATCTAGGTGGAGATCATGATAAACTATATAGAGAAATGTCAGCGTTGCAGAGAGAAGAGCAGAAATGACTATGTGAAATCATAATGTAAACCTTTCAAGTATTCCAGCATTAATGTTGCTAAAAACTATAGAGAACCCAGAGTGACAGGTCAACTGTGCTTAATGCTTATTCATAAGCAAAATGGCATGCTGATCCCAATGGGGATTTACCCTAAATAACGTTCTGCTGACGGCTTGTGTTCTTCTTTTAAAACAGTGTAGTTGGGACTTTATATGTCTCACTTAATATTATGGTATAATGTTTGATATATGTAACATATTCTCTTACACTCACTACAGTTTTTTTTACTATATATATTGGACCACAGACTTTTAGTTTTGTGCGTGTTTTGGTTTTTTAATTATGTTTTGTCTTTTTTTCTTCACAACTATTGAGCTACTTCTTTCGTGATGCACAAGTCTACTTCATCCTGTCTAAGCTAGGGTTAGCTCAATTTCTTAATGCAGAGTTACATAATGCAATAAGATTCAACAACAAGGAATACCTTGTTTTAAATGCCAGCTCATTCAGGTCAAACAAAGAGGAATTCCAGTCAAATTCAGAGATTAGAGTATCATCCAACGATATCTATTGTCTGCACGTATGCATGCTAAATATGTATACATCGATTTATTGTCTTCCTATAATACTTCATTGTGTTATCTAGACATACCTAGTACTTATTTGAATTTTTTGTTTTTATTTTTTTGTTACATGAACACAGCTTGAATAAAGATGTACCTATATTTGTATGTACAATGGCCTTTCCTACGATTCCTTGCCCACTTCATGTGTTTGAACCCCGCTACCGTCTAATGATCAGGAGGAGCATGGAGACTGGTACCAAACAATTTGGCATGTGTATTGCTGATGAACTAAAAGGGTATGTAATACATTTGTTTGCCCATTTAAGATTGTGTTTTAGGTGCAACTCATTGGGCCTCTGTGACTGTAGTCTTATGATAAAAATAAACATTTATCCAAATTACATGGAGATGGTGTTTTTGTACATTTAATATCACTGAAATGATAGCACTAAAGCTTTATGTATTCAAGGACTACTGTCACTTCAAAAACTGTTGTTGTTTTTTTGGTTTGTTTTTAAGTGACAGTGAAATCTTTTTTTCATAAAGTATTGACAGGAAATAATATATATGAAAAATATTTAAAAATAATAATTTTAATAAAAAAAAAAAAAGAGAGACAAACGTATTCCTACCTTTAGTATATAACCGGATCTATCAGCCATATAAACACACCTTAGGTCAGACAGTGTTTGAAAATCGACCGTCTCTATCGTCTCATAACAAGATTCTACAGACAAATTAAAAAAATATACATAAGATAATCGTATAGAGAAATGTGTGAAGATTGTGGTGTTGAATGCACTCACAAGAGCAATCAAAGAAAACTGCAAATCAACAGTCAACAATCAACACTCCATGGTTGCATCGTCATGAAACATCAGACTTCCATAACAGATTGTTGAACGTAAAAAAGAGAGAACAATGGTGCAGAACGTCAAGTTGATCATCTACTTTTTAATAAAAATATAGTACTTACAAAATGAAGAAGTGATAAAAGCCCATCTCCACAAAAATGGTATGATCATGAATTATCTGTTTCTGGTGCAGCAATCCCGATGCACTCCCAGGTATCAACCAGACAATGTAGTGATGAAAACTAGTTATACAGGAAATCCATGCAAAACAGATACAAAGAAAAAATGCAAAATATAAAAACCTCATCCCCATGTGTTTTGTCCATCTTGACACAGACTTTCTCAGGGCAAGACTTCAGTGGTATTAATGGGCTGCAGTCTCTGCAGGGCTTTTAAAACCCCAGTGGTACCAAACTGTGACTGCAGAGCCGCAGTTTGTTCTTCCAGTTTTTGGGTCTCTTCGTCATGCATTCAACTGGCGTGGAGACGTTGCGTTCCAAGTGTATGCGTCATGTAGTAAGAAAGCTTTCACACACCATAGTTAAGCATTTCGCCTTGTTCCTATACTCTGGAACCATCAATACTCAAATGAGGTCTGAAGAAAAAGGGTAGAAACATAGAAAACTGCCTGAATTAAAGGAGAGCGGGATAAAGGTATAATACAAAATACCAAAATATACAAATTATAGTACCAAAAAGCAATAATACTGGTAAAAATAAAAATGTTAACAAAAGAGAAATCAAAAATGAAATAAAAAGAAAACAAAATTGAAAAAAAAATTAAATAAATTATAAAAATAAATATAAAAAATATGACCAAATGTATGAAATGTAAAAAAAATAGTTTTTTGAAAAAATTTGAAAGAAAAAAGTTCTGAAAAACAAAACAAATCAAAATCTACATTTAAACCATGTGGATGGAGAGTCTGGATTTTGTGAATCTAGTAACCCTCTTTTCTCCACAATTTATTGAGTAGATTTCCCCCTCATTCATCTACTTTGACCTGTTCAATACCAGAAATATTTGGCTGTGAACAGCAGAGGAACAATGCACTGTGACAGACAGTTAGTCTCTATGGTCTTCCATGCTTCACTCTCTACAGAGAACTAGGGAAGACCTCAGAGACTGTTGGTTTTCTAACACTGTTTGACCCAAGGTGCATGTATATGGCTGAAGGATCCTGTCATATATACAGGATGTGTGGGTTTTTTTTTCTCCCCCTCCCCCCTTTTTTCCTTTTTTGCTACACCCCAAAAAAAGGGAAATGGAGGCATTTCTCAGCAGTGGTGCTGCCATAGAGGCCAAAATTTATACAAAATACAGATTAAGGAATAACGCGCACACAAAAATACAGTTTAACATTCTAAAAAGCTACTTGTAATCCCCCATCAAACAAATATGTGGATTGAGTTTTACCAATATGCCATGTAAGCTCACCACTACGCCATATTACCCCAATATCGGTGGGTCCTACATTAATTTTAACACGGGAGACAAATTAAAAAGTGCTAGTGCTAAATTGATTAAAGTGTATTAGGTATAGGTGTCATTATTATACTTGCAAAGCTTCATTCGTTGCCTCTGCAACTCCCATTGTAATGGAGGTTTGACTCTGGGCTGCAGTGTGATCGGACATCTACACCTAACCTGACTTCTTCCAAAGGGAGGTAAAATGAATTTATGTAATCTATTTATATTCTCACATGTATAATGCACTCAGGGCTGGCCTTAGGCCTTTGGGCGCCACACAGACACACAGAAACATAGAATGTGACGGCAGATAAGAACCATTCGACCCATCTAGTCTGCCCAGACAGCGCCACACACACAGGCAGACAGTCTCTCACACACACATTCAGACAATCACACATAGTTACCTCTGTTCATTATGGAGGTGGGAGTAGTGCAGCCCCTGGATTCTGGTTGTTGGGGGAAGCAGGGACTCCTTCCTGCTTCCCCTGCAGCAGTTACACTGCACTTTTAGCTCCGCCCCGGCCGCACAGTAAGCTCTGCCCCCGGCCAGCCATGTGTGAGCTGTGTCTGCCTCAGGGTGCCCCCTGGTCCATGGCACCCTGTGCGGCCATACAGCTCGTACACCCCTAAGGCCGGCCCTGAATGCACTTTGTGCATGTATGATATGTACATTGTAATATGCCTGTCATACTTGTCCTGAAATTGTCTCTCATCAAGCTTTCATGGTCATGTTATTCTATGGCATTCCAGGTTTGCAGATTATGGCTGTATGTTACGTGTGAGGGATGTAAAGTTTTTCCCTGATGGGCGGTCAGTAGTGGACACAGTTGGATTGAGTCGATTTAAAGTCTTGAGCCATGGACAGAGAGATGGTTACCATACTGCAAATATAGAATATCTGGAAGACAAAAAGGTAACTAATTCTGAGAGGACTGCTCTTGGTATCTTATCTTTTGTGACTAGAGGACCCATGTTGTATACCTAATAAGTTCTAAACCTGCTCGCAATGAGTCCTCCATATAACTAAACGATCTTTCCCCATGTACCCTCTTTTTAAAGTTTCAAAATAAAGGCTATACACAGGAAAAAAACTTGTATTTAGAGTGGAGAGAACAATATCACATCTTGGTTGTGCAATTACAATTACAACTAGTAAACATTTTGCCCATTTGATGATTCTTAAGTTGGAAATTGCTTTACAGCTCTATGAGCAATAGGTAAGTCTGTAATGCTGGACTGAGTCAAGCTTACTATCATGGATTATCTCCCATTAGCCTTGGAAGAACTACAGAAGGAGAGTAAAATAATTAAACCATCTTTTATGATTAGTTCATCAAAAGTGCATCTGATATTTCTAGTCCTAATATTTCTATCTGAAGTATCACACACGATTGGTACAAGACTTGTAGAATCCCAGATACCCCTAGATAACATAAATCAGGTGGCACATTTACAGAATCTGACCTCATTATGAATTGTTTTAGTATTGGCAATACTTTGGAGTATTTACATCTTGTTAGACTTCATTCCTATTTCAGGTGTGGCTAAGAACAGTATTTGATTTATATATTAAAAGTATTTTTATGTGATTGAGTTGTATAGGCAGCTATCAAAAATTATTGTACTGCGAAATTAGAAACCAATGTTCTATGCTATGAACTAATTTATTCTACATTACTCTATTGTTCCACAGGTTGAAGGACAGGAATATGAAGAACTGCTTGCACTGCATAATTCTGTGTATGATCAGGCCTTGGTATGGTTCACTTATCTTAAGGACAACCTAAAAGCACAAATTCTTAGCCATTTTGGGCAAATGCCAAGCAAGGAATCGGAACTACAGGTTAGCGCTCAATTTCCAACCCCTGTACTTTAGAGACAGTTCTGCTCCTGTATTACTGGTGTCCATCAGAAAAACATTTTCTTACTTGAACAGTTTATAGCTTCGAGCAATCGAGCTGCAAATGAAAAGTCCTTCAAGTGAAACCTTGTAGAAATCACAATGTTTTATGTTGTTCATGTAGGAAAAAAAATGAACATGTTGCACTTTTGTTTGAGAAAAATGGACACCAAAATGCGTTTAGGGATCAGTTCATTTGATGTGCCCCCGTGATCAATGTACTTCTGTTTTTTTAAAATAAGTACTTACTGTTTAATTTGTGTTCTGGAAATTCTACCCTGCTGTCTCATGGAAGCATCTACTGCATTTGCCAAAACAATCTTTCTAACACAATAATTCTTTATATTCATTGCTTTTGCTGTAAAGAAACCTTCGTGTAACGGAACAAACACATCTTTCTCAAGCTTAGCGTGATGCTCATACATTTAATCTACAATCTTGCTAATTAATCTTTGTTATGGGTGTCTGCAACTACAGTTGCTTTCTCCTTTAGCATATAGAAGGTTGTCAAGTGTCACTGCAGATACAAATCTTAAAGGTGCACTCCAGTGTATTTTTAATTTGTTTTTATCCTCAATTTCTACATCCCATAAATTTTAAAGGCATCTACTATCATGACATTGACATTTTAACCAATCTTGACCTTTGAGTAAAATTTATTTTTGGGGGGTTTTAGTTAATTTATTTATTTTTACTACCCATTTTTATTTTTTTGTATGCCTCATTTGACTGGTCCATTAAATGTGAACATTTCATTTTGATTGTGTTTCCTGTACATATGAATTGGATTTGCTTACTTATATACAATATGATTACAAGTGTGTTCATATTCATTTGATAAAAGGTGGAAACTGCTCTTGCAAGTGAATGTACACATCTAGCTAGTCATCTTAAAAACTGGAAGTGAGGGAAAAAAAGGGAGAGGAGACTTTTTTTATTTTTTAAATCTGTAATAATGTTAATTATTTATGATGCAATGACATTTGCTTGGATTATCTCTGCAAGATTTGCTGCTGAACACCAGTTTTAAATGTTGTTGCATTACACTTTTCTCTTCTAGGCTAATTCAAGTGGCCCAGCCTGGTGCTGGTGGATGCTGGCTGTGCTGCCGCTAGAGAACAAAGCACAGCTAACCATACTGGCCATGACGTCATTGAAAGATCGCCTACTAGCAATCAGACGTGTCTTAATGTTCGTTACCCGTAAAAGACCCAGATGACATAGGTTTACAAATGGAGCTTTTTACTTAAACAACATTCTATATTCTTTTTTTGTTTCTCTTTGTTTATCAAAGACTTTTTTTTTTTTTTTCCTCTGCACTGAAAGAGAACTTTAAGACTTTTTAAGTTATACTGTTGTTTCTGTGAAAATGCCATACAGTGTCCATGAATGAGCAACATTTCTACCTGGTTTATTTCACCATGCCTCATGGCGCTAAGCAGGACCTTGGTTACCAACAGACTAAAGGATC